AACACCTTGATACTTTGGTTTTTCAGCCATTTTGCTGTATATTTGCTGTTGTGCTTGGTATCATTGTCCTGTTGCATGACCCAAATTCAGCCAAGCTTTAGCTGTTGGACAAATGGCCTCACATTTGACTCTAAAATACTTTGGTAGACAGAGGAGTTCATGGTCCACTCAATGACTGCAAAGTTTCCAGTTCCTATGGCTGAAAAACAAGCCCAAATCATCACCCCTCCACAACCGTGGTGCCCGGCAGTGAGGCAGAGCATTGGAAGCCATCTGCCTGTGCTGAGTGCCTCGACCCTGTGAACATTGAAGTAAATAAATAATAATAATAAAAAATTTAAAAAGTATATATATTTTTTAAATAACCCCTTCCCTCCCTCCCTCTCCCGCCCTCTCCCTCCCTCTCCCGCCCTCTCCCTCCCACCATTCCCATGTACTTACCAGATTGCCATCGTTCCCCCGCCAGCGATCGGTGTTCTGATACACTGGGGGGACTGTCTAACAGCCCAGACACCCTAAAACCTGTACATGGGGGGTACTGTTTTACTCGGTAGACTTCGCTGAACACAAATATTAGTGCTTCAAAACAGTAAAACATATCACAGCGATGATATTGTCAGTGAAAGTGATGTTTCTTGCATTTTCCACACACAAACAGTGCTTTCACTAACGATATCATTGTTGTGATATGGTTCACTGTTTTGAAACACTAATATTTGTATTCAGTGAAGTCTACCAAGTAAAACAGTTCCTCCATGTACAGATTTTATATTAGTTTTGAAAGTTACAGGGTCAAATATAAGGCCATTTTTTCACATTGAAATTTGCCAGATTTGTTATGTTGCCTTTGAGAGCGTATGGTAGCCCAGGAATGAGAATTACCCCCATTATGGTATACCATTTGCAAAAGACAAAAGAAGACAACCCAAGGTATTGCTAATGGGGTTTGTCCAGTCTTTTTTACTAGCCACTTAGTCACAAACACTGGCCAAAGTTAGCGTTCATAATTGTTTTTTGCACTTCTAACACACAAACAAATATAAATGCTAACTTTGGCCAGTGTTTGTGACTAAGTGGCTACTAAAAAAGACTGGACATACCCCAAATTGAATACCCTTGGTTGTCTACTTATATACTTAAATATATGGTTTGATGGGGGTAAATTACATTGGCCGGTTTCAAAAATGTCCCAAATAGGACATGGGTGCATGATGACCAACTGAGAAAATTCCAAGTTGGAAAACTGGAATGGGCACCCTCCAAATAAGGTATTTTAGCCCCCAGAGAACCCGACACACCTGTACATGAGTGGTATCACTGTACTCAGGAGATGTTGCTGAACACATATTGGGGTGTTCTTTGGCAGTAAAGTTCTCAGTACATGTATTCTTAAATTGCTATGTGTGTCAAAAAAATCACCAATTATTATTATTTTTTTGTTTTTTTAAATTTGGCATAGATTGGTGGTAAAATGGTTGCATGAAAAGAGTCAAAATACCCCTAATACCTAAAACCTAATACCTTAGGTTGTCTTCTTTTAAAAACTATATACATATGAAGGTTTATTCAGGATATCAGTGTTGCAATGTTTTTTATTTTGAAAATAAAAATGGTTTGGAAATAGCAAAGTGCTACTTGTACTTATCATTAACATTGGGTATTTCTAAACTCAAGACAAAATTTTGAAACTATTTAGCACGTGTTTTTTGGCGGTTGTAGATAGGTAACAGATTTTGGGGGTGTAAGTTCGAAAAAGTGTGTTTTTTTTAAATAATTTATCATATTTTATAATTGTATTTATAGTAAATTATATGATATAAAAATAATGGTATCTTTGGAAAGACCATTTAATGGCTAGAAAAACAGTATACAATATGTGTGGGTACAGTAAATGAGTAAGAGGAAAATTACAGCTAAACACAAACACCGCAGAAATGTAAAAACAGCCCTGGTCCCTAACAGTAAGAAAATTGAAAAGTGGTCTGGTCACTAAGGGGTTAAATAAATCATGACACGGTATAATATGTCATATTTTATTGTTCATTTAAGATAGTATTTAACTATATTTAAGACTTAAGACCTGTTAAGGAACAGATAATTGTAATGTTCTGATAATTCAAAACCATAGAATTCAAAGAGGGTGTACATTCTTGTTCCCATGACTATTTATGTATAAGCTATACAAAAGTGGAATTTTAGTACAGATATTTACATACAAATTGGTGCAGATTCATCAGAGAGCAGGTATTCATTTATAAATATTAAATTTTAATGTTTACACGTGGTTCCAGATTGCTAGGTAACCTGCTTCATGCACACAAACACACACATAAATACATGTATACACATAAACAAATACTTGTATACCTCCCAACACTATACGAACTTCAAAGAAGAAGCATATGTATTTTTATAGGTAGCCATAAATAAATAGGTAGTAAGGTCACCTTATTTGGACCTTGGTGTGCACTTAATTGTCACCATCAAACTGGCAGGATAAATGACAAATGTTGATCAATTCCTCAATGTTTTAGTAACAGTGAAAGCATAGCATCATTCCAGCATTATTCATGCCATTATCATTTTAAAGAGGCAGCCTAAGCCCCTTAACCTCTAAAAGCCACTGTAGTGGTTTTGGTGCCTGGTGTCACCTGCTTCTGTCTCACAGTAAGTTGCCAAACCATTCTCAAACAGTTTGTTACTTATTGGAATCTTTCAAGTAGCCATAGTAGTTAGAACCTTCAGGATATAATTAAAAGTCAGACCAGGTATTGATATTAAGTAAAACTGGGATCAACAGGGAAATTTCAGCAACAGAAAGCTCCCATTTGCCTAAATAATATCGGTTTTGTCCCTGTTTGGACAGGACATTGGACATTGGCTGAGAATGTTCGGGCTTGCGGTACCCAACTCTATAATGATGTACACCGTAATTAGCTTTCTTATAGAGTTGAACTGTGAATACAGTGCGGTCACGACTTTACTAAAATGAAATTTACCATATAGCAGTAAACACATTAAAGTAAACATTTTTAAAACGAATAGTAAACTTCATACGTGTCCATTTTTAAATGGCTATTCTGGTACTCCTTCTACTACCTCCCTGTAACCATGTTCCATGGGAAGAATGACATTCAGGTAGAGAGGCCAGTGTTTTGATGGAACATGAAAGCTTTAACAAGTTTGTGTGATTGTGTAAGAGGGGCTTGAGTTTCAACACAGCTGCTTCACCTTGTTCCATCATTTGCACTAAGGAGGGGGACAGGGTGAGGGGGATACTGTGTAATTTGTTTTTCAAATTGCACCCATTCATGACCAGAGATAATAAGCATTTTGAAGGCTTAACACCTGATTGGAAGCCAGATGGCACTGCAAGTATTAACCAGGTCTTCACACAGAATGCAATCCCTTATTTGACTACAGCTAATTGGCCAGATGTTTCCAAGAAAAAAAAAAATTATTCAGTCCCCTAAACGAAAAAGTTTAATCACCTGTAAAAGTCTTCTCTTACCTCATTATTATTAATATGTGCAATTTGTGCATATAATATGTATATGTGTGTGTAAAGAAAACGAATTACTCACCTGAGCAAACATATAGTAATATGGTACTACTCAAATAGTTTTTATACAATGTGATAAATTATATTCATAATTATTAAAGTCGTAATTGTCAGGAAATTAATCTTAATTCAAAGTGAATTAAACATTTTCTTTGTTGCCAGTGTGCCGGCATTGGAATGCAGTGACTTCAAGTCACCTTGTTCCTAAACTCCCTTAGCCGCCGCTGGAAGGACCAGCTAGGGAGTTTCCAGAGCAACCACAACGCATGCGCTGTGGTTGCGATAGTTGGAGAGAAGAAGGACAGCGACGCCAATGCATTGACTGACAACCGTGAGAAAAAAAAACATTTTTGTAACTAGGTTTTTCTCCTAATCTATACATTTGTTAGCAAAACTATAAGCACAATGTATACATAAAATTTTATGCTCAATCTAATGAGCAAAAGTTGTTTGGGACATGATGCCCTTTAAACATCGTTTGCCTGTCAGCTCCATAAAAGCACCGTGGCATTAAAAAGTGCTAAACTAATTTATCTTTAGAATACAATAAAAATCATTGAAATTGCAGTTTGGACTTTATACGTGAATGGGAAACAAAAATGATTTGCATCACTTTGGTATCTTAGTAACCTGAGCAACAACTTGTTTTATCTTGTGGCCCATAAAATGAGTAGTATTCAATAAAGTGGCTATTACATCTATGTCAACATCATCAGAGGGCCTAATGTAAGTATAAGGAAAAACAAATTGTCTTCCAAAACATCAGGGTCTGGAGGCCAAGCATACCCAAGACAGACACGGCAAAGAAACCATTGTTCAGCGAGTTGTGTTATTTGGGGTACAGTTAAACTTTTGTTTTGGTGGGTTGTATTCATTGAGTAGTGATGAAGACCTTGATTTAATATTTTTGGATAAGCTTTTCAAATTATTTAATATTTAGAAAAATATTTTAATATTTTGATTTTTTTTTTAAATATTGATATTTTTTTTATATATTCTATATTTTTAAAATTGTAATATTTAAAAAATAAAAATAAATGCTTATCGAAAAATATTAAATCATTTGAAAAGCTTATTAAAAAAAGATTTAATAGATGCCGAAGTATTTTATTAAGTAACATTACTGAATTGAATGGTGTGCCGTGCAACACTCTTGTCCATGTAAGCATTATTGTGAGAGAGAAAGCTTCAGAAAATGTTACAGCAGAGGCTGTGTGATCCTTAAGAATATGAAAGTCCCATCAAAACCATTATCTCTATATGGAATAAAAGAGGTTATGAGTGCTGTTGGTTTTAACTCAGGAACATATCTGGTTAGAGGTGGTAGATTATGTTTAGTGTGGAGTAGTGACAAATCACACAAAGCTACAGTCAACCTCCTCATTTTAAAAGTATACTCCAGACCACTAAAGCACTTTAGCTTGCCGAAAAGTTTTATGTGTGAATACTGTGTCCTCTTTTTTTTTGTGCAAAAATTGCAGGTTTTTACACTTTTATAAATCAACCTGGTTACACCCTCTGGCTTTAAAGTTCTGTTACTTCCTGGTTTGGTTAGCTCAGTGGAGCTAAACTCAAGAGGCAGCAATTGTGCAGAGCTCCTGCTTGCAAAGACTTCTCATTGAGCTCTTTTGGAAAGAGTGTGATTGGACAGCCACAAAAATTCTGGGCAGGGTTACATGGAGATGGCTTGGAAAGGCTCAGACATGAGATCTGCAGCTTTTACAAGCTGCTTTTAGATATATTCCCAATGAAAAATGTATAATTTAATGTATGCATGTTTTCATTGTTGGTATATTTACTAAAAGTTATTTAAAAAAAAAAATTATTTCTGCAGTGGAGTATCCCTTTAACACATTTTGTAGCTAATGTATTTAAAAATATTATGAAATGAAAAAATGTCTACTTCTCTAATTTCCTTAGCAGGTAATTCCTATGATGCAACTCATCTCTCCACCAAATGAAACAGTAGTTTTAGTTATTATCATCTCAACCATATTGATAAAACACAATTAACACTTCTGTGTTATCAATGTCAATTTTGTACAACCTGGGATCAACTGATTGCTTGAGAATAACGGCTCAACCCCCACAATACTCTCAGCCAATAAGTTTCTTCCAGGTTGAATGAAATTGACAGCAGTGGCGGATCCAGAGCCTGATCTCGGGAGGGACACTTAAAGAAATAATCCAGGCACAATAATCACTACAGCTCAGTGTAGTAGTTATGATGCCGGTAGTGCCAGGATCCCATCCCAGAGTAAGTAGTCAAACCGTTTAAGAACAGTTTGACAACTTACCTGGGGTTGCTGGGATATAGGGCATAGGAGCAGTGGTATGTGTGTGTGTTTGTGTGTGTGTGTGAACAGTGAAGTGCGTGAGGGCGGCAGTGTATGTGTGTTTGAGGCAGTGTGTGTATGGGGGGCACTGTATGTGTGTGTGGGGTAGTGTGTGTATGGGGGGCACTGTATGTGTGTGTGGGGCAGTGTGTGTATGGGGGATACTGTATGTGTGTTTGGAGCAGTGTGTGTGTGGGGGGCCCTGTATGAGTATGTGGGGCAATGTGTGTATGTGGGGCAATATGTGGCAGTGTGTGTATAGGGGGGCAGTGTGTGTGTGTATAGGGGGCACTGTATGTATGTGTGGGGGCAGTGTGTGCGTGTGGGGGTCATGTGTGTGTGTATGGGGGGGCAGCAGTGTGTAGGGGGCACTGTATGTGTCTGTGGGGCAATGTGTGTATGGGGGGTCATGTATGTGGCAATGTGTGTAGTGTATGTGTGTGTGGGGCAATGTGTCTATGGGTGTGCAGTGTGTGTGAGGCAGTGTGTGTGTGAGGCAGTGTGTATGGGTGGCAGTGTATGGGGGGCAGTGTTTGTGGGGAAGTGTGTGTATGGGGGCAGTGTTTGTATGGGGGGCAATGTTTGTGGGGCAGTGTATGGGGGGTAGTGTTTGTATGGGGGGCAGTGTTTGTGGGGCAGTGTGTGTATGGGTGGGGGGAGGAGGGTAGGAAGTCTTTAAAATCATTTTTTACTTATTTATTTAAAAATATATATATATTTATGTCCCCCCTCCCTTCTTACCTTTACTGGGAGGAAGGGGCATTTCTTAGTCCCTGGTGGTCCGGTGGGGAATCCCTGGTGATCCAGTGGTGAGAGTGAACTATAGCCCGCAGCTGCAGGGCTAGAGTTCACTCTTGCGAGATTTGGAGCGTTGACGTGGTAACCGCAGCAACGCTCCATTCTCACGAGAGAAGGACCTGGATGAGCTGCAGGCTGAGCTCCTGGGTCCTCTCTCCCTCCCTCCTTCCCCTGCCGGCTGCCAGCAATGTGCCTGCGGACCGGGGAGGGAGATCTCTGATCTCTGATCCCCCTCCCCGGTCCGCAGGCACATTGCAGGACAGGCACTTGGACAATGCCAGCCCTGCATTAGCCAACAGGGGAGACTCTCGGGGGGGGGGCAATTGCCCCGTTGCCCAACCCCTGGATCCGCCACTGATTGACAGTGATATTTCAGAAGTGTTAGTTCTGTATTATCAATGAGGCTGAGATGGGGGCCGTCCCTCTGGCCCAGGGAGTTGTATCAAACTGTTTTTAAATGGTCTGATGTTAAACCAAGGGACAAAACCAGGGGACTCTATGTAGCATAACCACCACCACCACAGCTATTAGTTATGTTTAGAGTGGCCTTGTAAGCTTTAGTATACTTAAAAGCATTATGTGTTAGTGTAAGACTTTACAACAAAAACGACTCTTTCTGTCTACAATTCAGGGCTTATGTGAAGGATCAAATAAACGCCAACAGTGTCCTTTTAGTACAGCTGTCTGATTTTAACCAGGCACATATATTTACTGTGTATGGCATGAAAGACAATACATATTAGCAATTTGGAGATCTGGTACCCAAGCATAGGTGTAGCTTTGCAAATACCCATAAGCAGAGCTGGTCTTAGGCCTTATGCGCCTTGCGCAAAGAATCTGCACAAGCGCAACTCCCTGGTCACATCCCCTCACCCATTTATAGTGTGCATGTATAGAGGTGTAGAGTTTGTATAGCAAGTTATTAAATTAGTCATTATTTAAAAACAAATACCGTATTTATTCTCCCTTCCCTGTTGTTGTCTTGCATTTTTATTCGTTTTTTATACTTAGTCATAGGCTGTTATACCACTGTATACCCTAAAAATATTTTAATAAAAAGCCGTTTACTCAATGCCTTTCTGAAGGATTATACAGTATAGACTTGGAGATTTGTGTAGTACCAATCTTCAATTTACAATATACCCAAATCACAACCACAGAAAATTGATTTAGACGAGGCATTTTGGAATTCCATTTACTTTGTCTACTGACAGTAACCATTGTCACTTAACTTTAACTCTGAATAACTGAGGGACACCAAGAACCATCTTTATGTCAAAGGGACACCAAGAACCATTTTTATGTCATTTGTGGGCTTCCCAAATATTCTCATGTACAAAAGAAATTTCTTTGTCCTGAACCATTTTTTTTTTGGATGAAACTTTTCCGATCGGAAAACGTTTAAAATTTCAGTCGAGTTGATTTGTCCGAATTTAACTTTTACCCCATGCAGAAATCTAATAATCACTCATACTTTATAATTGCTTTCCCCACACACGGACATCTCAATTATCGTGCAGTATGTGTTCATACACGGAAAGGTGTGATTTTACTTGTTCCTTAATAGCAATTAACTCACACTTATTTTATTGTACTTACTAATGCCATAATTAATTTGTACATATTACTTCGTTTGAAACCACGTCTTTTTTACCAGTGTCTTGCAGTAACATAGTACTTCCTACTCTGCATTTTTAATATTTATTGTTAAATCCTAAAGAAACATTAAAACGAAACATGCTTGGCAATGCAATATAATGCAATATGAAAACAGTAGTGCAGCAGAAAAATTGTAAGCTCCTCTGATTGCACATTCCATTCTCATATTTGCTCACCTTTATGTAGGGAGATGGACTCACATCGATTTTACATGACATTATGAACGATGCTCGTAAAAAGCTTCATATTGTGATTTGATCCTTGCCTGATCTGCATTTATAGTGGATCAAATTAATGCTGGAAATGTAAGCAATTAATCCATAGAAGCCTGTCACTAATAACAATGTTATCTCGTAATTACCTTAGTTTGTCTCTCTAATTACACGGTCAACATTAGTTACAGAACGGAAAACACTGGATGGACTATTGATCTGGACATCTTCCCACCATAAATGGAGAAAAAAAAAAAAGAATAAAAAATAGCTTCAAGATTTATTTTAAGAGGTGTAAGGTTTAACTTTTTAATTTGAAACAACATGCTAATTCTACTTCTGCAAATTAATCATGAATCATACGTATTTTTTTTTAAAATCTGAAATGTAAAAATGTGCTTCCCCAAACGGTATCTCTGATTGTAAAAGGTTGCTATGTTTAACAAGAAGACACTATTATTATTATTATTATTATTATTATTATTATTTTATTATTTATATAGCGCCAACAAATTCCGTAGCGCTGTACAATGGGAATTATTAAACTATTAAATCATTTCTGTTTTATTTTATTTTTTTTAAAACGTTTCCTCTTATGATTAGTTAGAGATTCAGCAATTTGCTATAAATTATAAAAGTGGCGATTCAAATAATGTTTATATTAATATAGAAAATTGTGGGACTGATTTTTTTAAATTTTCCATTCACATCTGCCCTGTCTAGAGGAAACTAAGTCATACAAGATCAGCCATTTGGTTTGTTCAGTAAATTTCAACATAGCAGAAAAATCGGAAAAAAAAATAAGGAGAGACAGAACAGGACAAAAAATGGCAAGTCAGATGTAATGGTGAGAAAAATAGAACCTAATACAAATACCCAAATATGTTGACTATCTGGGGGGTGGAAACAGTGCTGAAAGACTTGGAAAAAATAGACAAACCTGTCTAAACTATCAATAATAGCAGAATGAAAAGCGTGGATATAATATGATATATATATTTTTAAATGTTATATAAATGGCAGAGAGATGAAAAGAAGCACGGGGCATCAGTGAATGTCTATGATATAGAAAGCAATCTAAGATAATGATACAAAATAGAATACAAAAGTGTATTAATATTCACAAAATGCTGCACGGAAATTCTAAAAATAAATAAGAAAAGTTGTTTTCAAGGTCTTCTATTGAGATGTCCCTACTTCATCAATGGTTCTAATTCACGCATTCCTTCTTCAGCGCTGACATTGGAACTGGCATTGTCACCGTAAAATATGCAATATTTACCGTTAGTGTCTCAATACTCATTTCTTGCTGTTAGTTAAAGGGACACTGTAGTCACTATAATCATTTCATCTCTTTGAATTGGTTATAGTGCCTGGAATACCCTGGCACTGTCCCTCCATTGAGTGTTGCACCATGTTCGTGCAGTATGCCACAAAATAAGAGTCCCTGGCCACCCACAGTCCAGCCCCTTCTGTATGTGTAGCTAAGGCAGAGATTACACACTTCCTTGTTGTCATACCCATTCATACCGTCAGTTGGAACTCTGACAGGCTAAAAGCAGTCAGCTGACACTCTCAGCCAATCACAGCTGCCTATTGCTGCTCAGGCTAATACTTCCTTATTAGCCAGGGCAGCACAGAGGGGGTGGATTGCTGGGGACCCTTGTTTAGCATTAAAACATTAAAAGTTTAAAAACTGTTTAATGCTGAAAGATATGATGGTACCAGAGGACTCCAGACACTATAACCAGTTTAATGAGATGAAGCAGATACAGTGCCTACGGTGTCCCTTTAAGGCTATTCAAAGTGAATTTAATGTGAATTTAAAAGTTAAAGCCAAATAGCTGAATTGGGGAAATTGTTGAAGTCAGCTACGCTTCCAGTTCAGCTATTTTGGTCTTAAATTGAAATTCACTTTAAATTCACGTTGAATTCCCAACAATTCTCATTTTAGTAAATAACTCTGCGAGTGTTGTTGTTTTTATTTTTTATTTTTTTGTAACAATTCTTCATTTATTGTTTTTCATTTGCATGACAACATTTAAATATATCAGTACAGTGTTACAACAGAACATAACACATGGTAGAGTATATGTTTTAGAAAATTGCTGAGGTTCCAATGCTCGGTACAGTGGATAACATTGCAGTTGTTGACAAGGAAGTATATCTCAGCCTTATTCAACATGAACAAGCGTTATATAAAAAACAACAACAACATAATAGATATTTCAAGTAGAATAGTAAATCATATGTATCATGAGTGTGTCAAGGCATATATTTGATAACAGTATGTCATGTTGCCTCTGGGGTGACCAATCCTAGGGATATTGTAACATACCAATAAAGTTTTGGTGTTTGAGGGTAGACATGACTTTAGTTAGACAATGTGGTAGTAGCAGGTTTGTAGTGGACCACAATGTGCCTGTACCGGTCAAGGCCTGTTACAGTTATAATGTGTTGTGTTGGTCACAAGCTTGTGAGTATGATTAATGAGTTGTTCGGTGGAGATGTATAAATCATGTGCCGGCAACACAATAAGAGAAACCTTCGTGGGCGATGCTCGTCTGAGAATTTTAAGGTGAATGTGAATAAGGAAGTTATAGAGACAGAGGAGAAGTAAAGTTGAAGATGAGATAAAAAAAAGTGGAAAAAAACAGCACACTTATAAACTCTGTGAGTGTTTTAATTAACTGATTCCTGGATGAAAATATGCTGAATTATATATTATTTAAAACTATTTTGCATTATATTATCATTTCTTACCTGTATAAAACTACATCATTTCACACAAAATGCATTAACATGACCGGTGCCAAACAAATTACACTGTCGTAAAACATAAGCTACATTGGTTGCATTATGTTATATTGTTCTTTAATAAAATGAGCATAATTTAAAAAAAAAATTAATATGATTGCATGCTTCTATAAAAAATGTTGAAAATATTATTATACATTTTAAAGCATGTTACATTGCAATATATGATGAATAAATCAGTGGTCGAATCCTGTTAAATATCCTAAAAATATGCTGAAACCTCAGTTCCCCTGGGAAGCAGTTAAGGTAGTTATGGTGTGAGTTACTTACATGATGCAACAGCATGTAAGCTGTGACAGAGCTCACAAGATGTCCCATATGAGTTTCATAATCACTCAGGGAACCTGCCCCATCTCTCATAATTACATGCTAACGCTAATTGCTCACAACCAATAATGCTGGGAACAAAAGCAAGTCATCAACAAAGGACATGAGAATGGAGCCAGCCATCTTAAAGCAAGGCCTATCTCATTGCAGATGGTATACATTTAGTGGTTAGGTGAGCAGGGGGTTGGGCTGAGTATAGACAGATTCTGTGTAATTTCAATATGATTACTCCATTTTTATCCATTTAGAAAAAAAAATGATACCACACCGAATCTGTTGGTTAATCCCTCTTTTGGATATTCTTGTAGAGTAACTGAAATGTTGATCACAACAAATTCAATAAACATTATGTGCATAATTGAGGATGGTTTGGATGTGTCTAAGACAACATAAATGTTGATTAAAACAAATTAAATAAACATCAAATATTGAATAAAATGTATTAACATATATATGTTTATATGAAGTGGATTAAAAGTCCATAAAAAGAAGGACTGGGCACATGTGTGGTCCAAGTGCAGATTTATTTCTAGGAAAAACAATATTTCAACCCTATTAAGGGCAGTTATCAAGCTTGATAAAAAGAAAAAAAACCTTTATCGAGCCATGCACCTTATTTTCAGAATATAATTATTCACTCTGTTGTGATTATAAATTTTGTGTATATTTTTTGTGTCAAGAAAAAATCCTGGATTTGTTTACTTGGGGAATTCTAGTTTTTGATGACCCATTAGTGTAGCTGATCACAGTGTTGTACCATCTTAAGTTCAAAGCCTACCAAACTAAACTAGAGAGCTGTTCACTGTAAATCCATACTCAGGACAGTAGAGTAAGCCATTTGATAACTATAATTTAATTGCAAAACAATGTCCTACCCAGGTTGCTTCCTGCAGTCTTGAAAATCTGAGTGGTTGGACGTTTAGTCATTACAAGTCAGATTAGCCATTTCCCAGTTAGATCAGATAATGCATCATTAGCAGGCCTGGTCTGCAGGTGATTGAGATCTAAAACCCAAATAAAAAATCTAAATCTAAACTGTCACAGGTAGAGAACAACTGTTACACCAGGTATGTCATTAAGGACAATATGCCAGTTTATGAGAAAACAAGTATATCCTGAACTAAAATACAAATATAAAGGTGACAATACCTTATAATCAGCTAAGGGACTTAGTTTATGAGGCTAATCCCAAAATAGCAAAGGTCCTGCCAATACGACTCAGATTTATCACAGTGTTTACTAATTAGTTTATTACTCATATTTTTACATTCCTTTCTGCTAGAGACCAACTCCTTCTGTGTTTTTCACTTGGGGCATGAAAAGTCCAGAATTAGATTTCTAAATATGTCTGAGATTACAGAATTACTAAACTGTAGCACTAGAACAGCAAGTCATATAATATACCTCAATTCTTTTTATTTTTCTTCTTTTAAAGTAAAGGAATGCTAACAATAGTTCCAACCCAAATAGGTAGTTTTGTGTAGTTTTGTCAGTACAGAATTTGCATGCACTGCAGTTAATGTCTAGACCCGCTGGAGTCTAATTCTGAGTCAATAATCCACTGGATTCACTTGGTTTGAAGAAAAAAAATCTACCTTTAGGCTTCTATCTAAAATAAAAAATAAAACAAAAACGAAAAAAAATCTAGATTTCTGCTTTAAAAGTCTAGAGAAAAAAACAGCCTGTTATGCTGATTCATAACTGATATACTCATTAGACTTTTTAGTGTTGTCTAGATTTTGAAATGTAATATTCAATTTCATTTATGTGTTTTCAAGGACATTACGTTTAATTGATGGAATATTTTAAATGATTTTTGTTTCTAAGATAAAATATATAACAAAAATTATTCAGTGATGATTAGCGAACAAAATCCTTTTTAAAGTACATATATATGTACACCCTATAAAAACTTCCTTTTTTTCTAGGACTGGCATGTAAAACTATTCAATATTATGCTAGGGTTTGCCGAATGAGTTGTTCCTTATTTTATTATCCAATCGGCCTAAATGTTCTTCTGATCCAGTCTTTAAATTCCTTTCATTTGGAGTTTCCTGTCTGCTCTGTAACAGTATTACAGCATATTACTGTAGATTGAAATCCAAATGACAAAACTGAGTTTTGGTTATAGCTAAATTGTGATTATAGCCAAAAAACTGTTTTAATTTCAGTTCACTACAATCCAGAGTTTAGTGATTAAATCTGTATTCTGCTTGGTGGGTTGGAACGGGTTAAAGGAATGTGGGAGAAGAATCTTGGTATACTCCGTTATCGAAATATTCCATCCAGGGACCTCATATGTTCTAGATGTGCATTTGTCATGGACAGACTGGATCCAACAGGCAAATACTAAAAGAACAACGAGAATGTTACCGGACTTTAGAAATCATAAAGAATAGTACAAGACTAGCCGAGGTCAGGGATACAGAATTCAGAAAAAACTGAAGGAAAAGCCAAAGTTCAAGGACAATCAGAAGGCAGAATAGTCAAAGATAAGCTAAGGTCAAAATGCCAGAATATACGGGTTACGCGATTACGCAGGCTGTGCGACATCATTTTGATATGAAGTCTTATTACATGGGGGTTTTTTTTGTGTGCGTTTAACTCTTCTTTAAAGTGCACCTGTCATAGTCTGTGTTTGTTCCATATCTCTTTGGCTTAGTAGAAACCTTTTTATTCAAATGAGTCTTCTGGGCCAACATTTAAATAAATAAAAAATAAAAAATTATCTTCCACACTGGAAAAACAAAACACGAAACAAACTCAGACCAGGCAGGTTCAATTTTATTTCTTATGTGTAGCCTATCATTATGAAAGCCATTAACTTATTTCTGGATTTATTTACCATTGAGATTTAGGACTTGATTCAACATTTTGTGATATACTGTCAGTGCTTGGGACCCTGCTGCTGGACTGCCGTGAACCAAACCATTCTCTGGGGTGAGATAGGCTCTTTGCATGTGAGTGGGAGATGGGGCCAAAACACAGAAACTGGCAGAAGTATGAAAGATGAAGTCTAGAATAGTTTAATCAACAAGGCAAAAGCTGATACAAGTCATTATACCCTTCATGGACTATATACACTGAACACAATTATAAACGTAACACTTTTATATAATTATAAAGGCACACCTATGCAATAATCATGCTGTGTAATCAGCATCTTGATTTGCCACACCTGTGAGTTAGATGGATTATCTCGGTAAAGGAGAAGTGCTCACTAACACAGATTTAGACAGATTTGTGAACAATATTTAAGAGAAATAGGCCTTTTGTGTACATAGAAAAAGTCTTAGATGTTTGAGTTCAGCTCATGAAAAACGGGGGAAAAAACAAAAGTGCTGCGTTTATAATTTTGTTCAGTGTAGTTTTATTAATAGGAGCACACACCAATGGCGATTGTCACTATAATTTTTGGGTCCTTATTTACATATTCATTCTCAATGACACAGCAGCAAGTGGTTGAAAAAGACTCACATTCTTCAAGTTCATCAAGTTCCCCATTTCTGGTCCAAAACAAGGTAGACAAATCTCACTTGACTTCTAGATATGGCTGGGGATTCCCAAAGTAACAGCACAGTAAATTATGTAATAACCCATATAATCTCATATTCTACACATCATGATGAATTGATGTTTTTGTATATTTGGAAGTTAGAACATTGGGGCAGTTGAATTACAGAGTAACAAATGCAAACATACATTATTGTTCACAGAGATGATTGAACTGCAACAGAAAATAGTGATATGGATCCAAAAAGAAGGCACTCACAGGACTTTAAATTATGTTTACCATATATATATGCAAGTTTTATTTGGGAAGCTAACAGAACACTTCAAGCACTATAGCCACTACAGCTTGCTGCTGTGGTTATGGTGCCATGAGTGCCATGGGGCCTCCTTTGTAAGTAGGTAAATAGTAGTTTGACTTCTAACCTGTGGCTCCCTGCATCCAGTTTCTGACAGAGAGCCAGAAGCTACTGCCTAGCAGCCTCTATTAGCTCTCCTTAGCTAAGCCCTGCATTTCAGGCCTAGTTCATTGGCTGAGATTGTCAGCTGATCCCTTCAGTTAATGAGTTAAGCCTTACACTGTGTGGCTTATTCCAGAGAGCCTCAGACTCTCCGTTAAAAGTAGTGGAGGCAGGCAGCTTGAGGTGGTTATAGTGCTTGGAATATTCCTTTGAAGCTAGTGTGTAAAAGCTGACCTTTGGATATGAGATTAACATAAATGTGGACTGCATGATAAACTGAAAGAAAACTGATTTTGTGTGTTCCTGGGAGGAAGGGTTAATTGATGGTACATTGATATTTTGTGTCCAAAATCCTCAAATCACAAAAATGTCAAATAAATAATTATTTTAGATTTGCACTAATAACATACATAATACCTACTATGTCACATACTCTTAACCTGTGGTACATGTATCTCAGGAGGTACGCGCAACATAAGCAGGGGGTATTTCAGGAGCTGGCCGGCAGTGTGCTAAGGCAGAGGAGGCTCCTGCTTATTCGGAAGGGGAGAATGAAGGTGGACAGCGAGAGAACGCTGATGTCTGTGCTATTCCAGCATGGCAGTATACGGTGCTCGCTGACAACAGATGTTTTTTACACACAGAATTAACATGTGACATCAAGGCTGGACTGGGAACAAAATGCAACCCTGGAAATAAAATTCGATACCAGCCCAATAAGGCGTCATGCCAGCATAGTGCCAGGGTGGGTAGAGGATACAGAAGCTTCTCTACCCGCGTTTCACTATGCCACATGAGACACGTGGAGGTGCTGGGGGGATAGAGGAGCTGTGGGGAAATTAGACACATGGAGAGGCTGGGGGGATAAGACACAAGGAGAGGAATGAGACACAAGGAAAGGTTTGGAGAGAATGAGACACAAGGAGAGGCTGGGGGAAATGAAACATAAGACACAGAGGGGCTGGGGAGAGAAAAAGACACACAGAGGGGCTGAGGGGGGAAAGAGACCCATGGAGGGGCTGAGGGAGAGAAATAGACACTTAGAGGGGCTAGGAGGAAGTAAAAGATGTACAAAGGGGGGTTGTAAGAGACACACAAAAGTGGTGTAGGACACACAAGACATGATCGGCCATGCTCCATGCAGTGACTGGCAGGAGGGGAGAGCTTCCCCTCCTGCCTGTCATCTGGTGATTAAGCCCCCTGGGCTGGTGTGCACTAAGCGGCCATGCACCTTGCGAAGGCATGCTTGCCCACTGGGAAATTTTCTGCTATCCTAAAGGGCCAGACCAGACCTGTTAGTCAGTCCGGAACAGAGTCAAGTGTGCTGGGGGTGCTGGGGGTGCTGCCAAAGTCAAGTGTGCTGGGGGTGCAACTAACCTCCAGCATACAATTAACAATAACTCTGGTAACACTATATTTCCAGACTCCAACCACCATGACCACTTCAAATCACAGAAGTGGTCATGGTGGTTGGAGTAACCCATACAATATGCAATACACATACAACAACAAAACTACCTGAGTAGCAAATGTAGTGTAAAGAAATATACATATAAAAAAATAAATAAAAAAAAATATAAGAATGGTAAACCTGATTGGCTAACGTTTCTTCTATACAAGTAGACGGCTTGGTGATCAAAAGGCTGATAATTACACAAAGAAGGGGAAGCTGTAATGAGATAAACGGTATCTGCTGCTGTGGCAACAGGTTCCACAGCCTACAGAATGTATGTAGACAAGGATTATAGAACTTTCCTGTCTCTTGTTTTGTTTATTCAACCCTTCTGTCACTAACCCAACATAGTAATTTATTTCATACACCTTATGCCACTCATACCGTCATTCTTTTCTTAAGGATGCAAGTCAGTGTAGAAAACCCACAGCTAATTATCACAGATGTTTTACCCTTCAGCTAAAAATCTCAGTGTATTCCCAGGGTGATACCCTTCATGGAATCCTTTATGTTTTACGAGAAGACAAATATCGACGGTATCCATGATCATGCCTATTAATGCAACTTAAATAATTGTAGATATAGATCTGAACTTTGACTCTACAAACACAATTATGTGAATGTTATAGGGGTTAAGGATCACGAACAAAAAAAGATAAAGACACTTTTCAAATGTACCATTAAAACAGGCAGATTTCTACCAGTTTTTATAATGAAATAATATCTTCATTCAGAGTTCATAGCTGCATGCTTCCTGTTTACTGGAAGAATGAGAGAATTAAACTTCCTGTACACGTCTAGTAATGATGCATACCTCTCCATGCCCCAGTACTTAAAGCACGTTTGACAGCATTTTATGGTAAATGCTTAAAATGAATCTATGTTTTCTTGAATATGTTTCAATGGAGACCAAGTGCTACATAAATAATACACTGTAACAGGGTTATTCACTAACGTGTCAGTAGTTGGGGAGTCCCGGTGAGTGGAAATTTAGCGTAAAATAGTGAATGGGAAATACCTAATGTGGTGAATTTTTCCAATTTGTTTGTTGTTGCAAAAATTTTAAATTCCCTTTGAATTTAGTATGAATCCTCTAAAATTAACACGTTAGAGAATAATCTTGCATCTTTAGTTGTAGACCTCTAATGTACATAAAAAAGAGAACAAAGTCATATGACAAGATTACAATTCAGGAGTCCAGATAAATATCAAGGACTGATGGATTGTCTCCAATAAAACGCCTGCAGTCAAACTCCTAGATAGAGGGGGTAACCCTCAAACTAGCGCAAAATTACAATCAAAATTACAAAAAATAGGTGTTTAGGAGGACAACCAAAAAACTCAGAGGGAAGGAGGCCCTACCTTTATTGCTTTTAGGGAATGGGGTAAACCAAAAAATGAGAAACTTATAAATAGGGAAGAATTGTCTGAACAGTGCTCAAGGGTATAAAATGACAGCCACACAATAAAAAAGGTGATAAGAAGATGCAGGAGCCTCTAAATGTAACTCTAATGTTATATATACCCTGAGGCAGTTAACAAAAGAGAGGAATAGGCAAATCAACGATGGAGGTAAGAGGAGAGATGAGGATAGGGGGTCCTATATGAGAAAACCCATGCCCGTGGAGACCTCAATGATTCTCTCTCTAGGAGTACCTCAGGACCGTGGACAAGCCACTAGTGCTTATCTGCACCACTCTCCCTAGCTTAGTCAAAATAAAGCAAAATAAAACTACCAAAAAGTCATAGTGCAAAAATAAAACTACCAAAAAGTCATAGTGCAAAAAAAAAGTGCTACCAAGTGTAGTGATTAAAAAGAAGATAGTTCGACACGCGTTTCAGCGTGTCAGCGCGCTGTCGTCTGACAATCTAAATGACATTAGATTGTCATGGCAGCCCTCATAGGTACTCGAGGGTTCAAGCAGGCATAATATATTATACAGATGACATGTTGTCTCCAAAAATAGCATAGATATCCAAGCAAAAGAAACAAGCATTGCAAAAATAGGACAGATGAATGAGAGGAATAACAAATTGTCGCAAAACCTACTACTGCCAGACAAGTGAGAGACCACCCACACCACTACCCGAAAAACAAGTATTACAAGTACCCTGGACGCGTTTCGCACCTCTCAGGTGCCTTCTCAACATTGTTCAAAATGGTAAGTAGAAATTCACCCCTATTGAGTGTGCCATGTACGGTACAGACTTTTAAGGCCTGACTAGTAGAGAAGAACTTGAAATTTTAATCCCTGGCAGATGACAGTTAAAATATTGGTACTTGCACTGGACAGAGATCTGTGGGGGAGTTTGCAATATTTTGGAGGAACCTAAACATTCCCTTACAACCTTTTTAAAGTGGAAAAAGTTGATGTAGTGAGTTAGATAATGTCTGTAATAAGAATAGTAATTAAAATGGAACTGGAAAATGTGTCTAATTTCAAAATTAAGTCTAGATAGCAAAAGTATGTTTTTAGTTATAACCCCAATGTAATTTTATAATCTACTAAATTGTGATTTTTCTCATTTAAAAACTTTTTTTTTGTGTTTGGGCAGTGGAGTGTCCTCTGAAACCTTAGCAATTTTAACGTTGTTACATTGATGTGGGAACTAGACTTTAAGATTTGTTTTGGTCCGAACTGTAATTGTGCCCGAATTTAGGCCAATCGGGTAATGTGTCAAATTCCCGAACTCTGAGATAAAATTTACCCGACTGTAAAATATATATTTTTTATTATGTATATATTTTGCTGTACACTTTTTAGCCAATTTTCGAGGCCTTTTGCATCATTTAATTTGGTTCCCAGATTAGATTGTTGGCACCAACATTCTTAGGAGCCAAACCAATATAATGCCTAAATTTGGGTGTCCCGACAAAATGTTCTATTTTTGCAAAAAATGGTTTGGTCGTGCCCAATTTTCTTGATGTGCGCAGGTTTGCTATGGACCTCATAGGTCAGTTATACTGTATAACCATTAAGAAAAACAAAGACTTCATAAAATAATTATATATATCCGTTTGGGAGATTTATCAATGCAAAAACTGGTGGCATTCTGGTGTAAAATGCTAAGTAGGGGACAATCCCCATGAAAACCAATTCATTGTTTCTCACTATTTAGCACTTTGCTCCAGACTAGCACGTTATTCCTTAACCCCTTAAGGACACATGACATGTGTGACATGTCATGTTTCCATTTTATTCCAGAAGTTTGGTCCTTAAGGGGTTAATGAACCTCACATTTCTGTCTGTCCTATGCCCACTTGTATATTCTAAAATATATAATGCATACTACTTCTATCGTATGTTTTAGCACAGAAATTCTACATTAATATAGATAATTGGTCACTTTGGGGTATACAATGGGATATGCAGCAGTGAGAGGGTTCATTTGAATGAGTAGGAATAAAGAGCTATGTAAATTCAATGTAGGTTAGGTACAGAGCTCAAAGGAGCAGAGGGGGAAGGGGTTAAGCAGCTGATCAAATCCCTTAAGAGACAGAGTGGTTTAAGATAACAGGTGACTCTGGCTCGTAGGGACACACCTTTGTTTTACTAGCCCCATAATTATGGCACAGGTTAAGAAGGAAAAAAAAGCTGTATAATTTACCTGGCCTGTATGTTTTTCTCCTATTCATCTAGCACATGGTTACCTAAGTAACTGAGATTGGGGGGTTGAGGTTTACAGCAAACGGAAAATTGAAGAAACAAAGACGTAGTAAATTCTGCATTTTTTCGTGGCCATTTTGCTATCTGATGCACGTGAAAATCATCAATCATTTGCCAGTGCAAGCTGGTTATAGAGATCACTAGAAGTGTTATATCATCAACAACTTACTCTTAACGTTTGTAGTGTCTTTTTTAAGAACTATGTTTAGATTCTTTCACTTGTGTACTTTTTAATTTTGTAAAACATTTTTTACAGGTAATTTTGTTACATCAAGTTACACTCACATTATAGAAAGTACAGAAACACTCAGAGCGCCATAACTAGCACTGTCTATGGTGCACTGACTTATCCCCTGTGCAAGTCCACTGGAGAGGGTTGCCCTCACTTTTGGAGCTGGAAGCTTCTGCAGAGAGCTTTTGCTGGCTCCACTGAGCTATCCCCTGCTGGGCAGTCAAGCAACGGCAGCTGGGCTCTTTTTAGTTTGCTCTGCTAGACTAGGTCAGCACAGAGTGCTTCGAGCAGCACAGGAGGAGATGACGGGCACCCAGCACACAGGTAAGTTGTCAAATGGTTTAATTACTTACCCTAGATGGCTCCAGGGCACTGCCGGCACCATAACCACTACAGAGCCCAGTAATGGTTATGGTGCTTAAAGTGTTCCTTTAAAGAACTATTTATTAAAAAATCGGTACATAGTCAAATCAACAGTAACACATTTCTTTATTCAAGCAAATAAAAAAATATTTAGATACATTTGAGAGAGAGGGAAAAATAAAGGGAGATCCATAATCTCCCTAAACACTAACCCTGGCACAACTGATCTGCTTTTATGTGCACTGTGTGAAACTTAAGAGTGTCACCCTTCACCTTTTACTTATTATTTCTGTCCATGTTCCCTCTTGGTGGTGTCCTCCTCCATAACCACCTATGAGTGCCCCTCTCCATTTCCACCATAATATGTAGTCCTCACCATGCATCCCCTTGTGAGTGCTCATCTCTATGTGCCTCCTCATGTCCCTTGTGTGCCACTCTCCACTGCCCCCTGTTTGTGTTTTTCTATGCGTACCTCATGTGTGCTCCTTTACTTTTCCACCATTGTATATGCCCCTTTCCAAGCTCACCATTGTGTGTGCCCAGTGGTGGAACTACCATGGTCGCAGGGGTAGCAGCTGTGATCGGGCTTTTTGGAGTCACCATTGTGTGTGCCCAGTGACAGAACAACCATGGTTGCAGGGGTCACAGCTGCGACCGGGTCCCTCGGAGTCACTCCAAGGGGCTCAGCCGCCCTGCTGACCCCTGCAACCATGAGCCGCCAAAGGTAGGGGCGCCTGGAGGAGCCCTCTCATAGGGGGCCCAGGAGGTGGCCATTTGGCCACCTTAGGGCACCCACAAAATGACTCCTACACAGTGAGGCAGAGTAGGCAACTGCTTACCTGGATGGTGATATTTGCTGCAAGGAGGTGGGGGAGAGGAGGCAAGCGGCGGCAGTGTGGATGTCGAGGGAGGCTCTTCTGAGAGTACCTCTCTCCTTCCTCGTGCGCTCTCTGTGATGCCGGGAGCTGCAATATGACGTCATTCCGGCCCCGGCATACTAAACAGCGCGAGAAAGCAGAGGGGAAATGCTAGATTATAGCACAGCCCCACACTGGACTCCAGGAAGAGGACCCAAACCCGCTCTCTAATAGGTATGGAGGCTAGGTGAGCCTTAAAAATGTATTTGTGAGAGTGTGCAGGAATGCGCGAGTGTGTCAGACAGTGTGTTTGTGTCTGTCAGTGTGTGTGTCTGTGTCTGACTGTCAGTGTGAGTGTCTGTCAGTGTGAGTGTCTGTCAGTGTGTGCCTGTCTGTCAGTGTGTGTGTGTGTCTGTCTGTCAGTGAGTGTGTGTCTGTCAGTGTGAGTGTCTGTCAGTGTGTGTCTGTCTGCCAGTGTTTGTGTGTTTGTGTCTGTCTGGCAGTGTGAGTGTCTGTTTGTCAGTGTGTGTCTGTCTGTGTGAGTGTCAGTGTGAGTGTCTTTCAGTGTCAGTGTCTGCCTGTCAGTGTGATTGTCTGTCAGTGCGTGAAGGTCTGTCTGTCACAAATGTATGGGGCTGGGAGAGACACATGGGGTGTCTGGGGGGTGGGTGGTGAGAATAAGATGTGAGGAGGGGCTAGCGGGGGGATGAGACTCATGGGGGGGGCCCAGTGCAGTTTTCACACCGGGGACTGGTGGTTTCTAGTTACGCCTATGTGTCTGCCTGTCTACATGCTCACTATTGCATGTACCTCTCTATGCCAATCATTGTGTATGGCCTTCTCTATGCCCCCACTGAATGTCTCCACCATGTCTTTCACACAATCTCCCCTTATGCCTCCCCACCTTCTGTAGCATGATGGAGCTGCATGTTGATTGACTGTCTAAACATGGACAGACTTACTCTGCATGAAGTAATGTGCATTGTGTGTTCAGAGGGCAGAGACACAGCCTATAAATGTCACTTACATTCTGCCACATCCTTGTCACTGAATGTGGAGTAGGCTGAGGAACAGTGGTCACTCTGTAACTTCCCAGTGGCCCACGCCTATACCTGCCAAATGATCCCCAATCTTGTAGGCCTTTGCAGCAGCATCCCATTGCGTTAATGCCATATGCATTCACCCAGGACACACACTCTAAATGCCGCCCATGGTTAGATTGCTTTAACCTATGGAGATTTTGTACTGAAGAGTTATATTTTATTTTGATAGCTTTATAACCGATGGCTGACATTTGCTGATATTTCACTTTCATTATTACAGATCTGCACACTTGGAATATACCTTTAATCTCGGGCATTTAGTGGAGGATTGTGTGATGAGTGGAGATGATTTCACATACAAATTATTAATGTGAAGGAAGCTAGCACTGGTTCTCCATCAACTGTTGGTAAAAAAAATCAACAGACAAAAACAACTTTGATGTTTTGTGAAACAGTAACAACAATATGTATCTCAAGCTCCCAGATGGGCTAATTAAAACACATCCAAAAAGCCATGATTTATGAATTAATTATTCTGACCTTGAAAAAATCATAATAAACCATTACGACCGTAGCAGATCATGTTTACTCTCTGATAACTAGAAGAAACATGCTATTTGGCCTGCTTATATTTAAATCACAATTTTATGTTTATATTGATTAAATTACCATACGTTTGGTATCTTGTAGTACAAGTTACTGACAATGACTTTTAACAAGATTTAACCACAAAAAAAGGGTTTTGAATATTTAAAGATTCTTATACATACAGTATATGGACCCAGACAGCTTAAAGCTGCTCTGCCACTTTTCAGTACTTAATAAACATATAATCTTTATGGAATACTGATTCTGACCCCGTTGGAAATACCTGCACAATCCAGCGATATCAAAAGACAAAAAAGGGACTACTTTGTCTCATGGGAAATCTAAAGTTGACAAAAGGCGGAGCTCAGCCGTCAACTTTTGTCCAATCCCAGCAGCTGTCATAATTAAAACGGCTGTGGGATATAGACATCCATCTAGGAGGCTCCAACAGGATCCTCCATAGAACTTGCTTGAGAGTGCAGCACTGACGCAGCTCTGGGCAAATGAAGCATTAGGAACCAAAGAAGACAACAGCATAAAGATGGCGGCAGCTGCAAAGGACAGAATGAGAGTTAAAGTTACCTCTCCGGCACCCCATGGTCACCAGACACACCAGATCTGTCACTTTTTAGAATCTTTGTGATATATGCAAATATCCCCCAAATGACAGATCTGCTTTAAGAAAGTCGAGTATTTGTGTGTTTTAAAAAAAAAAAAAATATTATAGTGCTTGGCTCCTGTATTTAAGTTGAGATAAATGTGTATAGTTGCAAGGTATCTGACTTGTGCTCACCTTTCTTCCTGTGGGATTTATGGTTGGAGAATACATATAGGTGTGTTCGTAAGTAAAACCAGATAGTGCAGGTATATCGTAAAATCATTTTATGGTGTATTCTGTAAATAGGCTTCATTTGATTCGTTCCAACGCCATAACATTTGAATGTTTTTCAGTAAATACCAACATAAAATGGTTTAAAAATTCACAGTTGCCAACATTTACAATCAGACCTTTATTCAATATGGTAGTGTGCTGAGAACTTCCTCCATCATTCTTCATGTTTACCTTTTATTTTATTGTTTGGTTTCTTGCTTTTTTTATTTTTTTGTTTTATTTTTTTTACTACAAGTAAAATAAATAACTATGGGGGTATGTTTGAAAGAGAAACATATAGTGGTGTGATGTAATTACCATAAAATGATGAGGTGGAAACTAGACTTTGGTACTTCCAAACTAAATTAGTTAGAATTTTTGAAAATGTTTGATTATATAGAATTTTGGGCAAAAAAAATGTAAACTTAATTTCAGTTTGGTTCTAAAATTTTGGTTGATACTTAATATTGCCATGTAAGCCCTACAAGCCGTAAAATGAAGGAAAATAGTTCTCATAGTGTCCCTTTAACAAAAATCAGCTTTTAAACTGTAAATTAGTGTTTAAAAGGTATTGCTAAGTGTAAGTAGCTACAAGCAGTAGCCATCAGAAAACTTATTCTGAATGAACCAAATTGGCTAAGCTAGCATGCTTTTCAGTTTATTCGGATTTCAGATAAATTTCAGTTCGAATTTCAAAATTTAAAAAATGCAACAAATTTGCCGAAAATTACTGAATTACAATTAGGACTGAACCAAATCTCCAAGTCTCGAGGAAGCTTAATTCCCTTGTTAATCTATGGAACATGAATCGCAAGCTGATTCGAACTTTTAAGCTACTAATAATTATAAAACTCTTACTCCAACTTTAAGTCATTAACCACCAAACCTACTGTATCAGTATTGCATGCTTAGGAGATTCTCACACAATTCTACATGCTCTATTATGCTCAGTGGTGGAAAAAGTTGGTGAGATTCAGAGCAGGAATATTCCTGACAAAATCAATTTTTCCATGTTTCCCACAGACAATTTTCTTTGCCTCCATAACAATATGTTCATTACCCTGGCTTTCCAATCTTTTTTGCCTTGTGGTTATCCAGTCTAACCACTATCTCTTGATACACAATGTCCCTTGTTAACTATTCTGCTCAGTATCTCCCATGTCCCCTATCGGCCTTCTGTCTCTCTTGTGTTCCCCACATGCCTTATGCAACTTCCATGTGCACCCTTTTACTACAGCCCCTCTGACCCTGTTGTTTCCTTGTAAGCATTTGTACATTCTCCACTGTCCGCCATGTACCACAATGTTTCTTGTTCAAATGTGTACCAATTCTACTCTATGTCCCTCTTGCAGCTCACACATCCTTATCTTATTGTCACATTTTCCAATTGTTTCCTTCCTTTGATATTCTTATCAATGGGAATCTTCCTTGGCACATTCTAAGAAGAAATGTTATAGACCTATGTTCATGTTTATTTCAGGGCTGGGCTGCTAATTAAGAAGATTTCTTCAATCCTGCCAGCCGGGCAATGGTTCAATGAACTGGCACTAGTTCTGCCCCTGAATTAACTACAGATGGTTGTGCAATGTGAGTGGCATATAATTGGGTTACTGGTTGATCATGCTTGATTATTAATTGAATAAAAGGTAAGTATGTGTCTTTGTCAGTTTCTTCGACTTGCAGCCAAATGGATTCAACTTCACCCAAACAAAATTGTGTTGTATTTCATGATCACCATGTAAAAATGTAACATGTGAATGAGTGCATTGAAAAATAAAAAAAAATATCTAAAAAACATTTGACTTAAAATGTGCAATTTTACAGAATTTAAACTATCTTTCAGATCTCTCAAAGCCATGCACTTATAACTAAGAAGCTCTTATTTATCTCGTAGCTTGCCTGCAACTGCAGTTTTAATCACAGATCAATTTACGTTAGGGGCATCTAGTCATTAACGGGATTTCATGGATTGACTTCAAGATTAGAATGGGCAGTTACTGTATTCAGGATTATTATGAAACATACATAACTGTGTAAAAACAACTAATGTCACTTGCAAGTGTTGTGTCTGTATTTTCCAAATATATTTAACATATACCAAAGCTCTATTCAAGCCCTACTTGCAAAAGACTATTCTTACAATCTGTTTAAAATTACAGTCCCGTTTCAATGTAGGTAAGAGGTTTTACGAAGTCAATAAAATCCTTAGATGTTTATTTATGTGTAAATAACTTTGTTCATTACTGCTTGTAGGGGGTCAACAATTAGAGAGCAATAAAATAGTTAAGTAATAATAAAAATAGTTAATTCTAAATAAATGTATATTTTTTCAGGAGTTTTTGTTAAGGAAGGCCTTACAATTTTTATGTAAATTAGCAGTGATTTTTTTTAAAAATAGATTTTGATTAGATACTGAAATTCTTGTAATGGTAAACTTAAATTAAGGAAATAAGATTAATTCGTATTTGTTTATTTTTTCTAGTATTTATGAATTTTGATGTCCAAACATGCATCAGAATATTGATCAATCTGTGCCTTCTTTGGCTTAGCAAACAATTCAACCATTTTTGTAGAAATGTCCCTCAAATAAAGTAAGACATGGCATATGTATTTAATAAATAGGCAGGTATGACTCAACACATTCCGTGCCTCATTTTGCCTCTGAACTAATGGAGTAAGCTTGTCAAATTAATATTTCATGGAGGACAAGTAGATGTTGTACTTATTCTTTTCCAAGACAGGTTTCAATGTAGACATTTAGACTAACTATAGTAAGTGATAAGTAAATAAATAAATAAATAAAAAATATGGGCACTCGCAGTCAAATGTCTGTTGACACTACCCAACGTAGGTAAGGTGCATGCAAATTGTTTTGGTCTGCCCAACCCCAATCCAGTCTTAACTCATGGAAACACCTGTCTATTCCACCTGTTTGTCTGCATTCTCGTGTAATGCACAGTGCATTTCAAGGGCAATCTTTCAACTTGGAAACTGTTGGATATCTCATTTGGCAGTTTTGTCACCAATTCTTTGCTTCTTACTTGACTTAGCCGGTGGTAGGTGTGGGGGCTGGAATTGGGAGAGGGGGTGGGAGTATATTCTCACGAAATAATTTGTGCATCACGCAAGTCAGCTCTTTGCTAGCCTATCCCATCTTGAAGGCCACACCTGTTGAAGGGCTGCGAAAAGAGATTGGCTTGTTGGAAAGAATGCACCTGTATGGGGAGGGGTGAACACCTACATGTAAGCCAAGCCCTTAGCCCTTCTCAGCCTCTTCTTGTTTCTCAGCTTAAACAAGCAACATCGCTCCAGGGCTCTCAAGGCGGAGAAGAATCCCTTTCACATTTGAAGACTTTGCCTTTTTTTTAATCTGTTTTGATTTCTACGCTTTTTTTTTTTTTTTGCCTTTTTGAGTTTAAGCGTTTCGGTTAAGTAGATTTTTTTTTACTCTTTGTGTAAGGTTTTTCTTTTAAGCAACCTGATAAGATAAAGGCACAGCTCACCTACGAAGACATCCGGATGGTCAGAAGAAAGAAACTGGAAGACATACACGCAACACGTCACATTGATGTATTCTTCTCAACGTTTTTTTATTCTTTTGTTTTGCTGCTTCATTTTGGTGCTGATGGTGACCCGTTTTGAAGTGCTAAACATGCATCTCTTGGTAAAGTAACATTAATGCAAGGTTCTTGGCTGGTTTCAAGGTATTGTTGCACACTCTGCTCATATATCATGCCGGGGTATTTTCAAGGGACCAAATCCAAGCATTTGTTAGAAATAGGTGTCTTTTATTCTTTTCTCTTTTGTTGCATTCAAGGGCTCTTTTCAGGTGATATGAAGGAATTGGTTCCTGGCTCATATCATGTTTCCTCCTAGCTTCTAATTCATGGGTTGACGCGAAGAGTATGCATTCAAACTCTTAGCCTTTAACCAGTCCAACCAGTTAGGGCAGGCAGTCACATGCAGCCGCAAGGTATTCAGAATTGGGCACAAAGGCTGAGAAGCAGTTATATGAGATTTTTTGGATGGGGGAAGTAAAAGAAAGCTGGCTCAGAAAAGGGACACGTATGATAGTGAATGAAGGAAGACACAGAAAATCTCCAGGCCTTTTTGTAAAATTCCATTATGTTTATGAAATTTAGCTTAATTATTGATGAGATATACTTTGGTACTGCTTGGTGTTTTATGCAAAAAGACCTGAATATTTTATTTTTTGCAATTAAATTTCAATAAGCCATATTTTAATATTTAAATATGGCTGCTGCAGTAATGCAAAAAAAAAAAAAAAACCATATCGTTTTTTGCAGTAAATAAAATCTGAGCTTTGCATCACTTAGTATTGTCTTAAGCATTATTTATGACTATCCTTAGTCTTGTGCCACAGTCCATTTTTCCTTTCTGAGCTACCTTTGCCTTTATTGTCATGCCTAAAATTTAGCTGGTTATCTCTGGCTCCGTCTGGAGTTTGCCCTGTATTGCTAGAACAGACCTGCCCTTACTTGTACCGTGTAGCTGTGTAAGACAAACTCTGTGAACAAAAAGCAGGATAAATCAAACCTAAGTTGTTATGAGTTGAAAAAAAGGGATACCCAAACTTGTGTTTTAAAATCTGCTTTTATTGTTCTTATTTTAAATTTTTTTCATGTTCTATATTGGTGATGGGTAAGAATTGACCAGATTTTCCCTTTAACCAGGGACACTTGGTATATAAACATATACATTGTGATGGACAGCAGTTATATTAAACCTGTCGTGAACTGGTTAAAGGTGAGCTCTCATCACAGCTCACTTGGAATAGTTGACTAAAGAATTATCAATAATGAAATCTTTCTAAGCGTCTTATTGGTGAAGTCACGGTTATGGCCCTTGTAATGTAATAGATTAAAGAGATAGGCTATGGATGATATGCTATGTTATCAACTGCAATGGTTAACCCTGGCACTGTAGATGTTTGTGGACTACATTTCCCATAATGCTCAGCCATACTTGATACAATGTCAAACAAGCCAGCATTCTATTTTTCTTTAAGCAAGCAATTCCTTTATTGAACCCTCGCTAGTGGTAACATTTTGACTATTCATGTAGGTCTTTCTCAAGCCAAGTGTGAGAAAGATCTATATGATGGGAAGAAAATGTTGAAACTGGTGAGAACACAATAAAGATGACATTTCCTTAAAATAAGGAGTGCTGAATCTGTTTGTCATGTTATCACTGAATTGTTGGTCTTTGGAACAGTCTTTTTGCACTTATTTGGATAGAGCATATTTCGATGGGTGTTGGGTCAGTATATTATATTTTTGTAAATTCTCAGCCACTCGTGATGGCTGGGCATCACGGTAAAAGGAGATTCAAAAGCATCTAAAATGCCAAGGTCACCCAACATTGGTTTTATGATTATGTCCGAAAAATGTGTAATATTTGGTAAATTAAAACTGAAAAAAAATCCAATCAATAGTTTCAATATATTTGGCCTTTAAATGATGAGAATGCATATTCAATTCATGAAAACTATTTTGTATAAAAGTAAAATCCTATTATAGCTATAATATAAAGTCTGCATAGCTATTTACCTGAATATTTTTACAAACCACACCTTTTGATTGGATTCATATAATTTAGTCCGCATTTTCCTTGTTGGGGGATGCATTAAGAGTGACCAGGAAATACTATTTATTTTTTCAAAATGGTTTTGTGTCTGCATAATGCAAATTGTTATTTCATACAGATTGCTCTTGTGTTAAAATTCTTCTCATGTGCCATTTTTAAAGTATGGGAAGAATAGATGAACGCAGTAAACAAAAAAAAAAAGAAAAAAAAAAGTGATTGTTATGAAAACCTGTCGGTTAACTCAAAATAAAGAGCAGGCATAGCTTTTTCCCTCTTCTCAGAACAGATATACCAGTTCCCGCCATAACCTACTAAGAACAGGAGTTTAACCCTATCAGTGCTCCACCTTTTTATTATATAACACACACAGGTTCATACCTTTTTTTACCTTATTTTTAGAGCAGATTAAAATAGGGCATGTATTTCAGTTTTTTTGTTTAACGTATATATTATATTAACATAGTCTTATATATATTTTATATATATATAATTAGATTTGGTATAAACCTTCACAATAGGTAAATATATAATATATTATATATAATAAATTAACCATAATTTTTCCCACATTTAAAAGGTGTATTTTAGAATATTCTATAGTGCATATTTCTCATTTAATTAACTGTCATCCTGCAGCAACATGTATACATTTAGGTTATTTAACAAATAGCTTGTCTGTTGCCCCCAGACTCCTCTACCTATCTTATCTATCAGGAGAGCAGATAAAGAAAGGTTTACTTTTGTTATGTTTTGTTCTGTACATTTTCTCTTAGTATTGATTAAGGTTTAGCACTAGGGGTTAACCAACAGGTTAGTTTTTCACACTGAAGTCACATTCCTATCCAGGCCAGGAGTTACCTTTGCAACAAGCCATAGAAGCTTTCAGAGGCCTTTATTTGATACCTGATATGGTGCAAAGGGCCAGAACATTGCAGTTAGAAAATTGCATGGATAATAGCATAGGAAGAAGAGGGGGGAAGCTGGGCGGGAGAAGAGTAACGGGCGGGGATAAAAAAAAAAAAAAGGTATTGCAGGTAAAGAAGATAATTACTGGCTTCGTAGGTGGAGCTAAATTTTAAGTTCCTTGTTTTGCTGAGCCCTTCATCCATTCTTCCTTGCAGTCCACAAGGCCTAACTATGGTAATAGCGATGATGATTAACTTGCTGAGAACAGCAACCTGGGAGACTGTGAGGCTGGGTTTAGGCTACATGAGGAGCGACCACCTGAGTGAGGCACAGCACTGCTTTGAACAGCTGGAACAGTGAGCATTAACAATGTAGCTTCTTCCTTGTTAGGTTATATTACAGAATTTTTATAACTTGAATACAGGAAGTTGTTTTTCTACTTATCCACCATGCTCTCTCTCGCTCGTTCTGTCTTTTCTGTTCTCCCCCTGTCGTTCTTTGCCTCCGTACTGGTTTGGAAGCCATTTACCTACCCCCACCCTAGCTCTGTTGCATTTACAAAGAGTAACAGAGTTACAGATAATAATCTAAAACTCAGTTTTGAGATTTCTTTGTATTCATTACTTGCTATTGGTGTTGCTACTTTGTATTTTTCAACGGTTTGATTCCCTCGACACAATGAGGCATTGTAGCATGTATTTGGATGGTGCATCAGGTTTCGAGGTTTGTGGAGCTGCTGTGGAGTTAATTTTAGTAGAGGAACCAGTTAATATACTCAGATTGTTTTAGTAATTTGGATATGTGCCTCTGGTCCTGTTTTCTTTATACACCTACTTTGTGCAGTGACGCAGAAATGAAATACAGAACCTTCAGGCATATTAACAAAAAGCAATCTTCCATATTTAGCACCTGAGAAATAGGCCCTTATTGTCTGACCGTGAGAATACCGTCTCTCGGATCATACTTGATCTCAACAGATAATTGAGTGTACATGAAAACTGTAATGAGAAATGCACTCGTTTACAGTTTTAGAAAATTTTTAATATATTTTGAATCGTGGTACAAACATAGTATTTGTATAAACATTATTTTAAATGTCCTCAAGTCGAATGGGAGACAGGAAGCTTTGAAGAAATAGGGTTAATAATAAAGCAGAATAGTTCATTTATAAACGAACCTTTGTTAAAGATTACCTTTGACTGTAGTTTCACTATCTGATTTGAAGTTGAGTCTAGGTGTCTTTATGTAGGTTTTGTTTAAATATATGTAGTTATTGATTCATTAAAAAAAACTATGAATTCAGGTGTCTAGAATACAAATAGATGTATGCAATTGTGTTGGAGATTTGGAGAAGACAACTTGTAGTATATATATATATACATTTTCTTGAAGAGTAGGCATTTAATGTAAACTAAGCTTTTGTTTTTAGATAGTGAGATGAGTTCATTATTCTGTATATTTTGTTTGTTTGAATAAGTCACTAACCCCTTTAAAAATGATTTAACAGTTGTTGGTTATAATCTTATAGTGTCTTTATGATGACTGTATCTTTAAGAAAAATGTATTTAAATAAGCCATCTGCATCAGACATAGCGTTGTATCTCCGTCTACAGATAATATTAGAATATTGATGAACATTTGAAGGTGCTGGGAGTGATTAAATAACAAATAAACAAAATACATCCCTAAATGCACACATATCAAAGACAATACAAGTGCATTAATATATATGCTTGCATTATGTGTCAGTTATATGGGTTGGAGGATTACATACATAGAAATCATTGTAAAAGCAGACTTTGTCCTCATGGTCTAGTAATAGACAATGACATACGTAGACACAGAACATTAGCTGAATAAATAAAAGAATAAAAACATACAATACGATGTTTTTTAAAAAATAGTGTAATAGCTTCACTCCAGGTTTTGTCATATTTTAAATTAAATATATTTTTACATTACCATTTTCAGTAAAAGGAGATTATACATTGATAATGAACGTATTTGATAATTAACATATTAAAGAAATGTACAGGTAAAATTAAGGTTGATTCAAACATACTAGGGCCATCGTGAGGCCTTTGCTCATTTTATTTTCCTTGATCTGTGACAGGTGTTGAATGAGATCATTATGTGTCCAGGCACAAGGAGGTAATCATTAAAAAAAATCTGGTAACACGTACAAAGCCACTCTACTCATTTCTTTATATATCAACAATTAGGATTAGAATATAGGCTAGGTTTTATCGAAGTCTTACCAGTACCAGTCTCAACTGGTATACGCAGTAACCGCTAATAATAGCGCATCTTCAGCTGTGCCTCTGAACTACAATTCCTATCATGCAACACCAGCCTTAAGGCTAGCTCAGCATCATGGGGATTGCGATTAAGGAACATTTTGAGTGCCAAGCTTATCTGTCATTAAATTAACACAGTCTACTTGAGAGAGAAATGTTTCTGCATCCTATATTTTGTGAAGACTGCACTAAAATAAGATTTATTTATCAAGGCAAAACACATGCAACCATGGAAACCAACAGAATTCCTCCCCACATTTTGCAATTTGCCCCAGTATAGTGCCTAATATGAGCCTACAATTTATCCTGTGTACAAAAACTCATATTAAAAAAACAAAATATTGAAAAAAAATGCATATTTGGTGGTATTAAAACGTTCAAACTTTTCTTAAGCCTTTGTATATTTACATCTTTTCTGACATTCTGATACATTAATATTGGCATACAACACCACACATTACACAATTCGGTGAGGTAAAACAGGAGGAATTTTTTTTGAAAACCAATGGAATTTTTCTGTCGAATGCAATGCTCAACGTTTAGCATTTTGGTACAGAATTTCCCAGTTTTACTTTGATACAAACTGCCTAAAGGCAGTTGCTTACTGTTTTATACCTCAACAGGACAAGGTACAAGGAAGGTACTGCATTTATGTAAAATGTTTGGTAATTAAAAAGCAAGTCGTGATAAAGCAGGACTTTTATTGCAACCCTATTAGTTTAGTCTAAAATATGCCAATACAATGCCAAACCCTCAATTAATTGGTTTAGCACAGGGATGCCCAAAAGGTAGCTCCCCAGATGTTTTGAAACTACACCTTCCATGATGCTTTGTCATTTAAAAGCATACTACAGGCACGCAAAGCATCATGGGCATTGTAGTTCTTCAACATCTGTCAGTCTACCTTTTGGGCACTCCTGGTTTAGTGGATAAACTAATTTGCGAATGGTTTGAAATGAGTTTAAGTGAGATTCCCAATCTTAATGTTTGCTAATTACTAAACTAAGAATTGTAAAGTGTGTATATATATGTGAATTACAAATTAGAAAATTTAGCCCAAAATAGTCATTACAAAATTCTCCAATTCATTTATTTTTTAATCTGTTTCAACACAGTTTTTGGGCTAAAATGTGCAATTCTCTCAGCAATTACACACAATTCCTGGTTTAGTGAAACATAGAGCCCCCTGGTTAATGTAGGCCCAATATCTTATTTTTTTCTCATATATAGATATACAGAATGCAAATATTTCTTACTTAACTGATCTTCTGATTAATTGGTGGTCTATTTACATAACAATACTAGGAAGATCACCTGATGATTTAATGCCTTTAGCAAACAATGCAGCTTTGACAATTTAGTGACTTAGTGAATTGTTAAGAAATGTACCAATCCACACCCCAAATATAGCCTAAAGTCAGTAGCCACAGACCTATTAAATGGCACATTTAACAATGTTTTAACACGCATCAAGTTACACATTGCTTTTTTAGTTGCCTGTAGCAATGCTGTGATAAAAAAAGATCTTTATTATAATTTCTATAATGCGTTTTGTTAATTTTTAGATTGAAGTCTAAGTTTTAGTGAGGTAAGATGAATTAAGATAAACTTAAATTCTAAAATATTTAATTTATGTTGGCTTATGCTAATTGAGCATAATATTGGGAAAAAAAAACATTATTTTTGCATTTACCAGAAAAATCTTTTTTTTTCAGGTCTGTAAGAGATAATTCACAAAGATATAGTAAATAGAATTATTTTATGTAATTTGTTTATGGACAAGAAAACATGTGAGATACTTGTGATTTTTTTTCATTATGGCAGGCCCAAAGGGATTATGTAGACATTAAGCATTCAGAGTGAGTTTCTCAATATTTTATGACCATGCACATGTTTTTTTCATATGGACCAGCCATTTTAAAATTGTTCAATTTAATAAAGTTTTAAAATGTTGTAGGAAGTTGTGGATGTCAAAGAGTGCCCCTTTATCAGAAATATTCCTCTTTGTAAGGTTTTGAGTTTGCAGACATGGTGGATAGAGAAGAATTTTCAGTGGAATTTTAGTTAAACGGATTGACACTAGCTTGCAAAATTAATGCCAAAAAATTCAGGTTGACTGAATTGAACATTTTTACCTAGAAATAGAATTTTGGCCTAAATGTTACAAAGTGGTTATAACGTCACTGGAATTCCTATTTGAGTTAATAAACACTAACATTAGAATTAAAGTTGGAGAAAGCTCCCTAGTAATTATCACACATTAGTGCATCACCTCTCACAAACCTGAAAAATGAAATTTACATCCCAATTCCTGAATCACGTTAGCAAAAAAAATAATGTTTTATTATTCAATTTTGATCAGCAAAAATGAATAAAGTAACAAAAGCGCTGATTAACCTGCAACATGTAAATTAGAAACACATGCAGTCAGTCTCTATTAAGGGCAAAATTCAGTTCTGCATCAGACTAATGCTAGGACCAATAAAGATTTGAATACTTAATATTGTTTTAGAAGACCCATTTTTACTGGTCTAACTAAAACACATGTTGTGAGCTTTTACAAGTGTTTCAATCTACTTATGACGTTTTGTAATGACATTATTACTACATTGCCAACAGGCAGACTTAATGTGGCCTAAACATGACCAAATAACTGGCCCGGTTTGGGTACATATATTTTACAGTGTGTTTGCTACGTGTATTGCTAATTGTCCTTTTTTAATATATAATGCTGGTTCATGAACAAAACACATAGAAAATACACTATAAAATACATGTACCCATCAGTCACATTTTTAGGGATCAAGAAAGTAAGAGTGACAGGCACTCCAGCCTAATTAATTAATTTGTAGTAATCATTCTCCTTTCCCACATAATCTTAAGAAGCTCTAGATAGTTGCTTAGTTTCCTGTGCCATTAAACAAGCCATGCTCTCATCCTTAGCAAAATGTAATATAGAGATTATTAGAATAGTGTTTAATACACTTGTGGAACTCTTAGTGGTAATACAGGACATCTTGTTTTACATGTGCATGAGTTCTGTGAGCATTTGTTGTAGGCATGTCTGCTGCTTCAACTTTAGAATCAACCAGAACTCTGTCTTCGTAGCGCACATAAACGTCACGTTTGCTGGTCTGTGTTTATTTAACTCTTCAACATAATTGGTTGGCCTTAGACCCCCCTTTTTCCTTGCAGAGCAAGTCGTGCAGCTGGCTGACTCACAGAGATTTATCCTGCACACTGCAAGTCTCTGGAATATTCAGTGTGGGTGTTTGAAGCAGATGCAATTCCTCATGACTATTTCTTCGCTCCTGCAAACCTGGAGGCCATTTTGCTGCTTTGCTTTTCTTACGAGCAGACAAAATGGTGATAGTATCTGCAATAAATGGTCTCTTTCCTATAACTCTTTTTGTGTGTGTGTGTGTGTGTCAGAAAGGGTGTGCCCTCTTGGCACTCAAGGGATTATTAACAAGAAAGACCTCAGGGCCTCCTCGTTGGTTACTCTGCTTAAAGGGAACAGAGAGACAGAGTGTGGCGAGGAGGGGGTGTAACTGCAGGTACTGCCATATTTGAACATTCCACGCATGTTTCAGTAAAAAGAAACTAGATAAGGTAAAGCGATCTGTTACAGGTGTGGTTTGGAACAATATTGATTCTATTTCCTGGTATACGGGTATATATACATTTTTTTCACCAAAAGACAGGGAAATTGACGCAATGCCATAACAATTCTGGTTTAAAAAATTAATAAATGAAGATATAAGAAAATACTTTTATACAAACCAACAAACAGAATACAATTTTAATAACAGATCAAATACGTCTATTATTGTTTATTTTTTTCAATTAATATGTCCCTTTTTGCTGTTTTATAATTGTAATATATTTTGTTCTCTTTCAATGAAAGTATTTAATTAACCCAAACTCATCAATTCTCTTTTCTCTCATTCATGTGTTTCTGACATCATATGGTCAATAGGGAGGGGGAGGTAAGAGTTATTAACCATTTGAATGCTGGGATAGGACTGTCTGTCAGTAGACCAATCTTCAGGGTGATAATTAGTTAACTTTTGCCCAAGAACAGTGGTTCCCAACCCATTTCTCAAATACCCCCAACAGTCCAGGATTTAAGGATTCCCAAAGGTGTTTATAGAAAAAAAAAAACTTTAGACTCAACAGGCTGGTACCTAAGTCCTGGACTGTTAGGGGGTGCTTCTGGACTGGGTTGGGAACCTCTGCCCTAGAACATACCTATTGGCATGCTTGTTGCCTCCCTGTGTCTACACCACAGTCTGTAGAATGTTCAGCATGTAAAATATTTTCTGTCACATTGGAACACTGGTTAAAGTAAAGATTGTGAAGTGATTGCAGGTAAACACAGTAAGTGTCATAAATCAACTAAACGTACACCTTGGCCAAACAGCTTACCATCTAACCCACCTCTTCTTTTCCTGTTTCTTCTGGATTTCGCTTCTTGCTTGTGACTTGGACTTTGTGGCGTTATTGCCATCTTACTGGGCAGCATTGGATGTTGTCTGTTTTTCTAATACTGCCTGGTAATGATGATTATGGCGTCCCACACACAACTTGGGAAAGGTGGCATGAAAGTAAGTAAGAATAACTATCTACTTATATAGTGCCCTTTCCCCTAAAGGAGAGACAAAACTCTTAGTGCATGCTCACAGACTTCCGTGAATGAGCAACTGACCAAAATAATAATTATCCAGTGGAACTCATTTTACTGAACACTTACAGACAACAGGCTGATTTGACCCTGGTGGGAAAGGAAACTTCATACCTGAGGTTTTAACAGTTTCTAAAGTTGGTGGATTAACCATCAAAATTACCTTATGGTTAGTGGATAAACTCAAAATGTTGATCGTTTTTAATGTATGCAGAGTGATCAGTGCATTGTAGCTGAGAAGTCATCAACGTTAAGTGATACCAAAAAAAAAAATTGGGGCAATTCTGGTAAAGAGTGCTAAAAATAAATTAACAGAAAATGGATAATTTATCCCAAATCATGTTATCTTCTCTATATTAAATTTATTGGGTCCATAATTGCTCTAGTTTTGCCTTGAGAAATATAGATGTCTACATTTGTATATGGATAATACTCAACAAATGAACCCTTGTTTAAAACCTTATGGTGAATCCCATAGTGCAAAATAGAATGTGATCCACTGGTACTTCAGAAACAAACACTCATTATTATATCATCTGCTTCCAAAAAAGCTTTATCAAATATATGGTAACTTTTTACAACTAAGTGCAGTTTACGTAACACTGCATTATTACCATTATAATATGGCATGAGCAATGAATATTGTTGTGTATATTGTGTAATGTTTTCAAATTATGAGTTTAGAGGTAATAATTGTAACTACATTACAATTACCTAACAACAAAGCATTTATTTCCATGCCCATAAGAATTAAAAAGCAGGAGTACAATATTTTGAGGTTTTTTTTAATTGGATAAGTTGATGTTGGTTCACAATCGAGTTGCAAGCTGTATTTAAAAAACATATTGCAAAATGGTCAAATACGTACGTTTTTCGAAATGGCTCTGTTAGTCTGAAATATTATTGCTAACTACCTTGTCACACTCATACAATCCAGTCCACTGTTATCTTCAAAGATAAGCGTCCCTTACCTGCCAGCTAAGGTTGGGCTAGATTTACAATGCTTGTGTATGACATAAATGATTAAAATTAAAGTGTGATAACAGCATGCCACACATGTTTAGAGGCTTCAGACTAAGTTGCTCTTCAACATATGCTATAACTACTGTTTTCTTCAATTCTGATTTTGGTTTTGATAATGGATCTATATGAATGTCAGGTCATACAAGGCTGTTTTGTCTTCGAAATATGAAGAATGCTGATTGTATGACAGCAAAAGTATAAGTTGATGTTCTTCTGGAGATGAGGAGAAGCATGGTCCTCTATGGACATCTTACTAGACAGTGCTGGATTTTTTGTACCTTTTCTAACACTGTCTGGTAACGATGTTTATAGAGTGTACCAATACACTGCGTGCATGAAGACACCCCAAGACATCGTCAACATATCATGGTTACAGCAAAGATAGACTTTCAGGCCTTCCCGATCAAGGCCCAAACATTTCATAAATGTGCAATCTCAAGCCATTACAGAACTACGACTCCAATCTTTGTTTTATGTCACCCAACCTTTTTTTTATTGGCATTTAAAAGTGGTGAAATAGTCAATGCTTGCGTCACTGCTACAACACCCTTCTAACAATAACGTGTACTTTAGCTGCAATTACAAAAGTTGGCCTTTGCAGAGTGGTTTATGGAAGTGATGGGTGTACATGCTACAAACACAGCAGACCTCTATTGCCAACACAATAATGGTAAGCTAGAATAAATTGAGTTATTATTATTGAAAGTGTCACCAAGTGTGTGCAGAATTTATTTTATTCCATTTATATCGTTTACTTAAAATATAAAGTTTACTTACAGGCTCTTGTAGCTTAAATCGAGAAAAGTGGTCATTAATAGTGATGTCCCGAACGGTTCGCCGAACGGTTCACCACAAACGGTTCTCCGCAGACTCATCATTGAGTAAACTTTGACCCTGTACCTCACAGTCAGCAGACACATTCCAGCCAATCAGCAGCAGACCCTCCCTCCCAGACCCTCCCACCTCCTGGACAGCATCCATTTTACATTCATTGTGAAGCTGCATTCTTAGTGAGCTGTCCAGGAGGTGGGAGGGTCTGGGAGGGAGGGTCTGCTGCTGATTGGCTGGAATGTGTCTGCTGACTGTGAGGTACAGGGTCAAAGTTTACTCAATGATGAGTCCGTGGCAAACCGTTCGTGGCGAACCGTTCAGGACATCACTAGTCATTAAGTGCAATGCCACAAAAAGAGCCAGCAATACAATTTAAAATTCACAACAAATAAATGTTACATATTATTCCAAAATTATTTTCGATTTAGACCAAATTAACTTGTTCAGTAAATAGTGAATTCTGTTCTGACAACTCTAATGTGGACTGGCTATACATCATACAAATGAATGACAAGATTATTTTCAGAGTAAGTTTTACATATACCGTATATACTCGAGTATAAGTCGACCCGAATATAAGTCGAGACCCCTAATTTTACCCCCAAAAACTGGGAAAACTTATTGACTCGAGTATAAGACTAGGGTGGGAAATGCAGCAGCTACTGGTAAATTTCTAAATAAAATTAGATCCCCAAAATATTATATTAATTAAATATTTATTTACAGTGTGTGTGTATATAATGAATGCAGTGTGTGTGTGTATATAATGCAGTGTGTTTGTATGAATGCAGTGTGTGTATGAATACAGTGTGTGTGTGTCTATGATTGCAGTGTGTGTGTATGAGTGCAGTGTGTGTGTGTGTATGAATGCAGTGTGTGTGTATGAGTGCAGTGTGTGTGTGTGTGTGTGTATGAATGCAGTGTGTGTGTATGAGTGCAGTGTGTGTGTGTGTGTGTGTGTGTATGAGTGCAGTGTGTGTGTGTATGAGTACAGTGTTTGTGTATGTATGAATGCAGTGTGTGTGTGTATGAGTGCAGTGTGTGTGTGTGTGTGTGTGTGTATGAGTGCAGTGTGTGTATGTGATGCAGAGCCTTGGTGGGGGGGTGGGCATTTTTATTATTTTTTAAAATTATTATTATTTTTTATATATATATTATTAATACTTTTTTATTATATTATTTAATTTTTTATTTATATTTATTTTCGTCCCCCCTCCCTGCTGGTGGTCCAGTGGATGGGCTGTGCAGGAGGGGGGCTGGCAGAGAGCTGTTACTTACATTTCCTGCATCTCCTGTCAGCTCCCGTCTCTCTCCTCTGGTCCGGTCAGCTCCCTTCTCCTCCACTGTAAGTCTCGCGGCCGTGCGGAGCGTTTCCCCGCGGCTCTTGCAAGATTTACAGTGGAGCTGACGGGGAGCTGACCGGACCGGAGGAGAGAGAAGGGAGCTGACAGGAGCTGCAGGAAAGGTAAGTTACAGTTCTCTGCCAGCCCCCAACAGGACCACCGGGCTTGTAATGAGCCAGCGATCCTGGTCTGTATTATGGCAATGTAAGTTGCCATAATACAGACAGTGACTCGAGTATAAGTCGAGTGGGGGTTTTTTAGCACAAAAAATGTGCTGAAAAACTCGACTAATACTCGAGTATATACGGTAATTGATACAAAATGCAGTCACCATAACCTTTAAATAGATAGGTTTAAAAAATAAATAAATATATATGGTGGTAAAAGGAAATGCAAATCGAAAATTTTGTAAATATGCAAATTTTAAACACATGAATGATTTTCTCTATTATATATTAACTTCAGAGAGTTTAATTACTAAACGGTGAACTAAAATAAAAAATAAAAACAGAACTAGCAAATTTGGCTAAAATTGACACACTGTGTCCAGATTGAAATTGGAGAGTTTTTCCAAATCAGTTTTTCCAAATCTTTAGTCCCAATGTTAATTATTATCAAAACCAATATTTAAATATTTATACTAACATATGGACATGAAAAAATTCAGCAATAAATCTAAAAAGAAATATAAATAATCTACGATGGTCTGGAGTACTGTATGGGTGTATATTATTAGAGATGTATAGAGGACTAGTCTTTGATGTTCCCAGAAGTAGCACACCAGACAACAAACCCAGGATGATCAGATATGTGGCCATAGTCAGGACTGTCTTGAAGAATCTGGGACTATTAGTAGGCATGTTATAGATAACGCCACCATAATCTGCAGCTCTGTACAGTGGAAATACAAAGAAACCAGACAATAAAATTGACAACAAGAAGTGAGATGTGACCTGCTCAAACAAGCTTGTAGTAGCGAGATTGGAACTATGTAAGCTTGTAAAAACAAAATATAATTTGGAGTAAAGCACAGTTTTTTAAGTAATGCAAAATGTATCAAGCTCTGACCAGAATGTTTTACTGTGTAAATAATGTCTGCGTTAATCAACACAGCACCATTGTTCTGTCATCACTGCCTGTTTGCAAAGCAGGTTTTACACACACCTCTTGCAATGAAACAGAAAGAGACATCCTGGAACATTAGCAAGGTCAGGGCAAAAGGAAATTCTATCCATTCTTGCCATGCTTTCTTAATAAAGATTTTTTTTCTCACAAATGGGAAAAGTATATCACGTTGTGAAATGGAAACATATTAATTGTACAATTTGGGGGTATTTTCACTAAAATTGGAAAATTGGACAAGCTAAATCATGGCGCCACTAACTCATCTAACATTGCTATTTTTGCCTAAACTTTTCAAAACTTTACTGGCTAGTGATTAAACCTCATAGTTATTTATAATGATATGGCCTCAATTCCATTCCTGATTTTACTTGTTAAAATCTTAGTAATATTTCATAGTTTGTTTCCAAATCAAAGAGAGTTACATGTATCTCCATAAGAGCACTGGAATAATGAATATAATTAATTTTGTTTCCAAGAAAAACATGGAGAATATGATTATTAAAAATATATTGAAACATAATGTTATTCAAACAGCATATATTAATATATTGCAATTGATTAATGCAAATTGCTTTTTTTGGGGTTGAGTGTCTTAAGGACAATGTTGATGTTTTTTCTCTCTAATCAATAATATTCCACTAATAAAGAAAATATGAATAAATATTAAAAAAAGAAGATAGTTAACTAAGGAAGAATTTTTTTTTATAAAAAGTAGTATTATCTTTTTCGGAGCCCAGTTAATGCAATACCTGGAAATCAAACTTATCTGATTTTGGCTTATTTTGTACGTCCAATAAGTTAATAAATGGATATCTGAAAAGTGCAGGTAAGAAAAAATAAAAATAGTCTTCATAAGTCGTGATGTGTGGGGTCTGTGTCAACCTGTTTCCTGTCTCTAGGGAAAAAAAAAAGTCCCTTCCTTTATTTGCTAAAAGGGAAGGAGCTGATTAACCTGGTTAAGGGAACAAAACAGCTTTTTGTTAAATATTTATTTATCCAAGTCCGGGGCTAGTAAGACATACAAAGCAGTTTAAATGAAGGCTGGTCCTGCAAGTGTCAGGCTCCATGCAAGTCTTTTAAGCTGTGCCAGATTTTCCCTTCACTCATTTAACTGTGAAAAATGTTCGACATATATCATTTTATTCTTTGTTGCTTTTACCACATTTGTCCATCTATTTTCTCCATAGTGCACCTTTCATATCAAAAGAGATATGTTAACCATTAACCCCTTAAGGACCAAACGGTTCGATGGCTCCCATTTAAATTTGAATAATCCAAGCCATTCAGAAAGCAGAGCTTTATGGGACTGCTAAATGAATTATGCTGGACATTCTCTGCTGGGATATGGTTCTTTAAAGGGACACTCCAATGCCCAAATAGGCCCCCCAAAATAAAAATAATTGTTTAGTAGATATACCCCTAATGATTATATGCATTAATTTATCATGCATGTAGTCATTGTGGGCATTTCTTAAAGAGCTTGCAAAGGCTGCAGATCTTATGAACTGCAGCCTTAGCAAGCCTTTCATTGAGAAGCCTCTGAATTGGGGTCCACATGGACGCCAATTTGTGCAAGCACGCGCACTGTTACGTGTACGCGCGCCAGCTCATGCTGAAGTGCTTTTGGGGTGTAGAGTGTTCCTTTAAGCATTTTTTTGTGATGACAGCAAAGTGCAGCATTAGGGCTGTAAGGGGTTAAAGAATGTAAATAATCAGTAGTTTTTCTTAAATAATGGATGGATTTTGGATGCTTGGATAGTAAAGAGGAACATTAGTACAGGAGAGAGGGACAGAAGGATTTGGGCGAAACATAGAGACTGTCTTTCCAAAATAGGGACACTTGTCAGGTATGCCCTACCGCATGTTCTAATGAGTATCACAGTGATGGCTTACTACTGCATTTGTTTTGTTTTTTATTACACTGAACAAGCCACCTGACTTGCTAAGCATTATGGGAAATTAAGTCTATAAAAGTTAGAATGTCATGTATCCCCTAATAACGCCAGATGTGAGATTGTACTGTACCACACCCTGCACTAATTCTTTATCATCTACTGTTACTGCCTGTGGCCTATAAATTGTCACCAGCAGGTACCTTATCTCATATTTCATCCAGGTGTATAAAGAAGTATGATCTCCAGTGTACAGGCCTGGGGATATTTAGTAAACCTCTCCCAGACAGTCAAATAATGTTGGATCAATAAAGAAAGGTTGATTATTTATTTCACTGTGAGTATTGGGACGGAAGTAGTGACTGCTTTTTTTTTAAAGTGGTGGTGAGGTAATATTTTACAGGTGAGATAAAAATGCACATTTCTAAATTCATACCTGTATTTTTCTGTTCTCGTCAAAGTTTTAGATTTGGTCTTTTATCTGAAGGCTTTCTCAGAGGATTGTTTTTTTTGCCACCTTACAACATTATAGGATCATGAATCTGTGTCTAATTAACTTTAACAAACTAGTGATTTGTAGAGTGCAAAGAAGCCGTAACAATTAATGTTGTTTCATGTCTGACTTTTTTTTCCTGATAAGCTGTTATTTTAAGGAAATATTAAGACCTTTCCTTTTCTCTCATGCTCCTTACAGAGTACCTCTCTCATCACTCTTAGCGAGGTTAGTTCTTTGACGAGAGTTCACAAGAGGTGTTGACCATGCCTTTAGTGATACTGTAACTGGTAGCCTGCAACCTCACAGCATTTGATTCCTCTTCTGATTTAGCTCTCTCATCAACAGCACTGAAATAATGATAAAAACTGGGTCCCACCATGATGGGGAATGTTGAACAGGGGTATTTATAGAAGAGACTCTACCACTCTGGTTAGTTGTACAAGTGAAAGCTAGAGCAGTGTGGACACTTAAAATCCTCTCCTTAGCTGCCCCTTTTTTGTTTTAAATTATGATTACTTGCAAAGATATACAGAAGGAAATGTAGGGTCTACTTTTCCTTATGTATAACCTGTAGGTTATACAACTTTGAAAAAAAGTAGCGCTATAGTTAAGCTCCACGTTCTTTCTTTGTCAGCTTTGTCATTGGACGCCAAGTCAATACTCAATTCCCTCCAGAGTTTCGTCACTTTTGACAGCAGCTTATCACAGATCCTCTATGTTGGCCTTCACGTGATCACGAGAGTCAACTTAGGTGTGAAAAAGCACTGGGCATGTGGATCATTTCCTGTGCTTGTCCAAGGAAGGGCAGAGTAACTCAGAAGTGACAGAGCTACTTTAACCAGTATAGGTCCACCAGCACCTGTTTTTAACAGTTATAGGTGTAGTCTAATAAGATTTGAATTACCCCATGAAAGAAAAGTTCAAGCCTCGCAGTCTATATTAAAGCACCAATAGAGAACACCAGTTACTATAAGGAACTGCCTTGCAACCTAAACATACTTGTCCATCATGAGGAGTGGGGTGGGCTTAATTTTGCTATTAATGCAGGTTTATAGTGAAAATGCTAACACATATTTTCCTCTTGATTGTTTTCTAATTCTTTAACTGGTAACAGATGTGCATGTATCCAAGATTTTTTTTTTTTTTTTGTCCAATATGCATGCAAATCATTATCCTTTAGGGTTGTCTACATTCTGCACCGTCAGAAGAAATGGTACATTATAGTCAGCTGTATGCAAAGCAGCAGTCGATGGTTTTGCACCTAGTATGTGGAAAATATTTATGGTGAATTTTCTGTAACATGGTTATAAAAAACTTTTTTTTTTCTGTGGGTATATTCTTATTAATTGCTTTACATTTTGCATTAAACATTCCCAGGTCCTACATCCAGAACCACTGCCTGTTGACCGATGTCTTACCAGGCAAGGTTAGATTTACTTACCCTTGTCTAATACTGTCTGGTAATGCCGTTGGTCACATTGGCCAAGTCTTCGTCTTGAGAGCTTTCTGTGTTCTAACCTACGTTGATCTCATATTGCTTCTTCATATTAAGTTTCATAGGGACAAAAATTGGAGGGAAAATTGGTAAGTTGAGATATAATCCTTCAGTCTTTCCACATAACTATTTGATCCAACAGAAAGCCAGTTCAAAGTTCATCGTTATCACTGTGAATAGCATGTGCAGTCATAAAATGTGATAAAATGAAGATACGTGACAGTCATATGCAAAATATAGCAATACTGGGTGCGTCAAGGACATGTAATACCCTGGTGAACATTAAGAAGCTAAAACTTGACATTAGATGTATAACCAGTGTTTATTCCTCGATATTTTACAAACTCTTATGATTGTTCTTCTGGAAGGCAACCAACCCTACTAGTCATCAATAAATCTTGCTTGTAAAAAAATCCAGGATATATATTTATTGTGATATGGATGATTTTGGAATAATTACAAAGATTAGATACAAGAATCCAATGACACTTATTGGCGGAGTTTACAGATATTCTCAAAAATACAACCATTAACCTTTTCAGTGGTCAACTAAATTTGCGACACACTGCAGAATAACGCATTACTTATCCCCACTGCACAGAATGACGTAACCCTATTATAACACAAGGCTTGCTGACATACCTCTACAGACACCCAATACCTTGAAACCAGCTATTTTATACCTAATGTTTGAAAATACAATAATGAATTTGATGTTTTGCTTGTGGAGATCAATAAAAAAAACATAAAACATTCAATGAGTCTTGGAATTAATTTTATTTTAATGAATATTGGGTTTGTCACTAAAGCACGTGTATCATATAAGTGTAACATATTTTCTGTCCAGCATTCCTAATATCAGCCTCTGTTATTAACCTTTTGCTTCTACTCAACTCCTCAATTCCTATCTGATAATGACTCTGTGAACCAACTTATATTTTAATGGATGAGAACATCTGCAAATGCCTTTTTACCTTTATTTAATTTAACCTAACCTCAAAATGTATTTTATTTGAAATTCACAAATGCAAGAATGAAAAGTCGCAGCCAGGAACACAAAGTAAATTCTAAATGTCCCGAGATTCCCTGCGTTTGGTTCATGACTACACATGTCGAGGGGATCATGGGAAAAACTAGTCACATCTGAAAGCATCTGGGATACATTGAGGCTCAAACCTTTCCAAAAACTATTGCAGAAAAAAACCCTGTTTTTAATGTCCATCCATTGCATCCCTCATCCAAGAAATAAAGGCATTCATAAATCTGTTTTCATTTTTATTCTTACTGAATATAAGGTTAAAGGTAATAAAGGTTACATATACTATTTTCCCCAAAATTCCGAATGGACAAAGAGCAACACTGACATATGAGAGGTGTGTGTGGGGACATAGCCAGGTGAGAGGCTGTTCTGAGAATCTTAGCGGACTTACTAATAATAATTTTGAGTGACAAAAATGTAATTTCAGAACAATAACAATGTATCTTATTTACATAGACTGATTTCTAAACACATTTATTGTAGTTTAAAAACACATTACTGTAAGTATCATTGCTGTGGAGATTTATTATACACTTAGTCCGAAACAACAGCAATATGGAGCTCCCAGCGAAGAGAGACATTAGGATAGAAAAGTAGGACAGGGGGATTTGGGCTTTTAAAAAAGGACAGTTGGGAGGTATGCATATACTAAAGTCTTGTTCAGTATGTTGAGTATGCTGAAATGAATAAATATTAAGGACATTTTATTCAGAGACTCTTCTGACTTACCCTTGTTTGACGGAGCTAGTTACCTTTAGGGGCCTCTTTGATCTGTAGACAATGCCAAATTTAAACATATGAAACTATCCCAGAATGCATATTTGAGATGCCTCGCACATGCATATAGTGTCAGTTTTCATAAAACCACACTAGCTCCTTATTACCTGCATGGTTCTTGGGTGGACAGAAATGTTTCCGACCAGGGACTTCCTAAAAATGGACACCTCCGTAGTGCAAGGGTAAGACAAAATATGCTTCTGAAGAGAGCTATTTCTGTATGTATGCATTGCAAAACAATACACATAGAAGATATAATACATACAGTCTTTAAAACAATAAAAAATACAGATACAAAAATGACAGATTTCCTTTAAGACGTGGCTGATCCTTTAACCTATTGTTTTAAATGTGACCTGCTTTGCCCTCAAGTGTAAACACAGAAAGCACACTGGACCAAAAACACAAAAACAAACAAGTGAACACAAAAACGAAAACATGGCGTGTTTATATACAAATAAAACGAGTAGGAATTTCTCCTATTGATTCCCTGTTGGTTGCTTAAGTCTGTTAATGGACGACATTTAGGAATTTTATAAATGTTATAGGGACTCAGACAAGGTGTGTCTTGCACACAATAAAGTAATTCCCACTTTAGGCATGATATCACTCATATTAACCCCTTAAGGATACAATGTCTGGAATAAAAGAGAATCATGACGGAATATTTCCGTAATGTGTCCTTAAGAGGTTAAACGTTTCACTGTCAAGCATGTATCTCAGTCTGTCAAAAAGCAGCATTTAGGAGCTGATATGAACACATCTCTAATTTGGAAAACTTTGAAAAACCCAACGAAACCTTGTAAAAGAAAACACTGATAAACCTATACATGGGGCAATAAATAATCATGGGTTTGTAGGTGCTTTACAACAGGGATTGTCCTTTACTTCTACACGTCCAAATCGTGAAAATTGTAGCAATTGTGTATATGTGAATATAAAGCGCACAAAATAAATACTAGGCTATGATTGACAATAAAATTAACGCGAAAAAAGTTTACAAATATATACTTTGAGCTTAGCACATTTTAGGTCTTAAATTGGGCTATAAGGATATAACATGTGAACATAGATATGTAGATAGATAGATAGATGGATGGATGTAGGGTACATGTGTCATTAGTTATAATATGCAGTATGTCAATTATACATATATTTATGTATTTTATATACACTTATTCAGAGTGCTTTACAATTTATGCAAGAAGAACATAAAAAGAACAACGTGGGCACCATAAAAACGTCATCAAAGTTATGTTGTTATGGTGCCCGGAGGTCATTGGGTGCTTTCTTACCTAAATGGGTTAAAACACTCTAAAATATTGTAACCCTAAAAATTGCTTCCAGCATTGCATCTCCAGTTCCCCCAGGGTCACCCAGTTTCTGAAATTGAGCTTCTGGAAGCGCAAAGTGCCGCATGGCAGAGGCGTCGCTGATTGGATAGAACGGTCAACTGACGCTCTTAGCCAATCAGTAGCTACTCGGGGAGGAACGGAGGAGGATCGGAGGCAGAGAGCTCCCCGCCCAGAGCTGGAAAAAGGTAAGTTTTACCCCTTTTCCCCTTTCCAGAGCCGGGCGGGAGGGGGTCCCTGAGGGTGGGGGCACCCTCAGGGCACTATAGTGGTCCTTTAAGTCTGACTGGACTACAGAGGAGACCGGCCAAGGCTCCTGGTTCTTATCTTTCTCCAGCAGCCTATTTAAGCTGAGAAAAGCACATTATAGGTACTGAAAACAAGTGCCCCCTGGTGGTCAAGCAAATGTAGGCAGGTTTTTACTCTACCCTGCTTGTTCTCTATACCTAATATGTGTTTCACCAACTACATTAATCAGGAAATAGATTTCTATCAAGAGCCTTTGGATAAATTCCAAAACTGTCTTATCAAAGCTTATCAAAGGGAGCCATTACTTAAAAATTACACCATGGGACAAAACTTTTATATTTCACCGATAATTTGCATTAGCTTTTTTTTTTAAATGGGTTTGATGATCTATTTTCGTTTAACTTTATATTAAATATTTTTCAATTGACATCTTAATCCAGTTCAGTCCTGGCACAGTCTTGGCACAGCCATGGCACACATTGCACTGCAGGAAAAGAAACAGAAACATTATAGGGGACAGGCAGATGTGAATTAAACATCCTAGAAAGTGACAGATCCCTTTAAATAAGCTTAAATTGCATTTCTTAATATGGCTATACATACTATGCTGGCTTCTACAACATGGGCTCAAAGAAAAAAGCCTCTCTAACATTAATCTTGGATACCTTTGGAGTCACTTGGGTTTAAGTCCTGAGTCCTTGGCACAGGTTGTTCATTATTATTATTATTATTTTATTATTTATATAGCACCAGCAAAATTCCATAGCGTTGTACAATGGGTGGACTAACAGACACGTAATTGTAACCAGACAAATGGACGCACAGGAACAGAGGGGTTGAGGGCCCTGCTCAATGAGCTTACATGCTAGAGGAAGTGGGGTAAAGTGACAAAAAAGGGATAAGTAGGGGTAATGAAATAGGTTGCTAGAAAAGTATTCAATGGGGACTTAGTAGGTTATTTTTGACAGTTGCAGGAGAGGAGTCATGGGAGGGGGAGCGGGTGGGAGGGAGGACCACTGATGGTGGTGCCATTGACTTGTAGACAGACAGACATGGGAGTAGCAACACTTGAGGGAGGAAAGATCAGAAGTTCTGTTTTGGACAGGTTGAGTTTAAGGAAGTGAGCAGCCATCCGATTGGAAATTGTGGAGAGGCAGTCAGAGACTCGAGTCAAGATGAGCGGACAGAGATCAGGAGAGGACAGGTAGATTTGCGTGTCATCTGCATATAAATGATAATGGAAGCCAAAGGAGCTGATTTGTTTACAAAGGGAGGCAGTATAGATGGTTAACAGTTCTCTTCTGTTGTAATAGGTACGAATGAGCATAGAACATTGGAGTGATTGGGGTTGGGTGATGTATTGAAAGGTGAGGGAGAGAGATTAGAGATCTCTTTCCTGATTGTAAAAATCTTCTCAATGAAGTGAATTGCAAAGTTTGAGGCGGACATGGTGGTAGGAGGAGGGGGAGCAACAGGGCACAGGAGAGCATTAAAAGTGTGAAATAGGCATGAGGGTGTTGAAGTAATTTACTTTTGAAGAGGACAGAGCCAGAGTGGAGGAGTGCAGCATAAATATATAGTGGATGAAGTCAGGTGCAAAGTGAGACTTTCTCCAACAGCGTTCAGCAGTTCTGGAACATTTTTGGAGATATCGGATCAGCTTGATGTGCCAGGGTTTTAATTGGGAACACTTGCTTACTTTTAAATGTAGGAGGTGCCATGATGTCTAGTTGAGAGGAGAGAGTGCAGTTATACAGTGAGGTTGCAGAGTTAGGGCAAGTGAGATTTGAGATGGGTAAAAGGAGAGTTTGGTGGAGAAATGCTGGAGATCAAGGCTGTGGAGGTTTTTGCGAGATTGGAGAGTTGAGGGTGGTGAGATTTGGGTATGAGATATGCTGATGTCAAAGTTCAGCAGATGGTGACATTTCCAATATATATATATATGTATATATATATATATATATATATATATATATATATATATGCAACCCTGGGACCCCAGGCCACTCCTGACTTATATAGTGAAGAGGTGGCCCAGCAGACTCCATCTTCCCCATCTGGCAGGCCCTCTCCAACTCTCGCAACCTCTGGCTGTCAGAGCATTGCTGCAGGTCACCTCAGCAACAGTCTATGTGGTATGCATGTCTGTCTCGAAAGAGAAGGAGGGAAAAGATGGAGCCTGCTTGGCCCCCTCTTAACTTTACAATTTGCTATGATACCGGCCCAGGGAACATAATGTTCCTCCCTGGCCACATAAAAATATATATAAAAAAATATATATTTGAATTTTGCTTACTGCCCACAGAACACAGCCTCTAACCCATTCCACAAATTTATAAACACACACATTGCATCCACTACACAAACACACACTAAGTACACTTTACACACACACACACACACACTGCACAAACTACACACACTACACATATACTGCTTTATCTTTACACACACACACTACACAAACTACACACACTGCATATATACTGCTTTATCTTTACACACATACACTGCATCCACTACACATGCACTACACCCACTATGCACACATGCCATCCACTAAATACACACAGTATCCACTAAACAAACACAACATCCACTACACACACTGTATCCACTATTATTATTATTATTATTGCCATTTATATAGCACCAACAGATTCCATAGCGCTTTACAATATTATGAGAGGGGGGATGTAACTATAAATAGGACAATTACAAGAAAACTTATAGGAACAATAGGTTGAAGAGGACCCTGCTCAAACAAGCTTACAGTCTGTAGAAGGTGGGGTATAAGATACGTTAGGACAGGAAATATCAAATAGGGTGGGAGTGAAGCAGAGCTGGAGGAGAGAGTAAAGCACTGCCCTATAGGAGAGAGCAAGAGACAGGTATGTTAGGTAGAGGTTACTCTGGGAGGCCATAAGCGTTCCTGAAGAGATGGGTTTTAAGGCCCTTCTTAAA